TTTTTTTAATAAACTGGAAATGTTGAAAAGAGATCTGTCATGCTCTCTCAACGCTACCATTGTTAAAGCTAGAAATGGGGCTGGGACGCGCTTGAGTACAGAGGGTGTGTCTAGCGTGTGTCAGGCCCAGAAGGAAAGAAGGCATGGAGGGAGGAAGAGAAGGAGGGAAAGGGAGAGAAGAGGAAAGGCAGAGACAGGAAAGGAAGAGGGGAAGAAGGCATGGAGGGAGGAAGAGAAGGAGGGAAAGGGAGAGAGGTAGGAAGGAAGGGAAGGAACAAGTGACTGAATACAAAAACACAATTTATGTAACATGGAATATTCTCTTGATTTTTTAAAATCAGTGTATACATTCCAGAACTCATAAGCTACATCAAAACAGGTGGCCAACCAAATCTCACCAGTGGCCACGGGTTGCTGATTCTACTTCAGGTAAATTAGAGTTGGGTTTCAATCCAAATGCCTTCAGTTTAATCCATTCACTCATCAAAAAGACTGATGCCCTGGAGGCTGAGAAAGTAGGATCCAGAGTTCAAGGCTAGCTTTCTCTACAGAGTGAGACTGAGGACCGTGGAAGCTACGCACCATGATCATGCTCAGAAAACAAAACAACAGCAAAAGTAATAAAAGAGAAGAAGAGGGGAAGGGGCGAGAGGAGAAAGAGAAGATAAAGCTGTGTGTGTCCCGAGGCTGAACCCTGCCAAGACACATGTGTGCAGGGGGCCCTGGTTTGTAGATAAACGAGAAGGGTCTTCTGTGGGATGTGGAAGACACAGAGAGGAGTTGAGAGGACAAAAGAGGACAAGAGTGGACACGTGTCCTAATTTGTACTATATTCCATTTTGTACCTTTTGACTTTTGCGTCACTTAAATTGACCTATTTTTTAAGTAATTTAATTTTTTTTTAATGCTGGAAGGAATGACTAGAAGAAGCTAAAGCCAGAAATTAGTCTCCTCTATATCAGAAAAACACACTTGAGAGCTTTGAAGTCGCTCAGTGGGACAGCTTGAGACCCGCATGCACGAGGCCCAGAATTTGATTCCTCGGTATCACAAAAATAAATAAATAAGAAAGAGGCCTGCACTGCCAGACCTGGATATGTCCCATAAGATAGCCTCTAGATGATGAAAGGCATATGTACTAAGAACACAGTAATAGCCTGGATGAGAAAGACAAATGTGGCCATAAATGTGGATGACACAAAACAAGGAATCTTTTTAAATGCAGAAGAGATTGTTCATTCAGATGATTATCTTAAATCTACTCATGACCCAAAGACTTTTAGAAAGGAGAAAATACACCCATCGATGTGAAAAAGCAAACATTGTCACTAATTAGCATATGGAAATCTGAGAAACACCAGATCAGTGGGCAGGGCACTGTCCCTGGCCCATGAGGAATCAGGGTCACCCGGATCAAGAACGGAAAGGAAGGCCTTGCCTGTGCCCCCACTGCCCTTTCCACCCTGCTCTTCGCAGGATGAATGAGCCTTCACCCTGCAGGTAGTCTCCACAGTCTACATGCCTAAGCGTCATCTACCCCACCTCCGCTCCATGCAAAGACCACCCCCTCAGCCACCTCACAACAAGGATGTACACACATCACACAAAGTTTGGGGCAGAGAATTCTGGATGCTCAAAGCCCAAGAATCTGGATCTCGGTCTAGAAGCAGAGACACTAGGCTCCACTTGGACAATTTCCTAAACAAGAAGACTCTGGGGATAGTAGTGCTGTTTGCTATAAAGGGACAGCTGAAGCAAGAGACCAAAGACTATGCTGCATGTGCAGTACATTTCTGCTTTCCGTGAAGAATAAGTTAATTTAATTAAATGTGTAAATGGCAGAAGGAAAGTGTTGGCTTTACATTGCTGTGACAATGTAATGGAAAACAAAAGAAAGCTTATTTTGCTCAAGTGTCAGAGATTTCAGCCAATGATTACTTGTCTCCATTGCTTTGAGCTTGCAGTTGTGATGTAGGAGACGTATCATTACCTCATGGCTGCCAAGAAACAAAGAGAAAGAAAGAAGAGGGCTGACAACCCGGTATCTCCTTCAGAGATACACCTCCCGTTGACTCAACGTCCTCCTGTTAGGCCCCACCTTCTAAAAGTTACATGACTTGCCAGTACCCCAACCCTGGGGACCAAACCTTCAGAACATGAATCTTTGGGGAACATTAAAGATACAAATAATGGCCGGGCGTTGGTGGTGCATGCCTTTAATCCCAGCACTCGGGAGGCAGAGGCAGGCAGATCTCTGTGAGTTGGAGACCAGCCTGGACTACCAAGCGAGTTCCAGGACAGCCTCCAAAGCCACAGAGAAACCCTGTCTCGAAAAACCAAAAAAGAAAAAAGAAAAAAAAACAACAACAACAAAAAAAAAAGATACAAATAATAGCAGAGGAGAAGGAAGGATATTTCTCTAACCATCCTAACAAAATCCTCTGGTTGAGGATGACACAAAAATAAAAATATCTTTTAAAACCTCATATGGGCTCTACTGTGCTGTTGCTGTTCAGTATTTTAGCTTAAAACATTTAGGTTACCATTTTGAAGGTACCAGACCCTCACCCAGTCCCCTGCTTTGGCAGCTATGACAGGCTGCAGAAAAGACAGGTAGGCCTCTGACTCAGCACAAGTGTCTGACCTTGCTGGGCCTGCCCTAGTCACTAGGAGGTGGCAAGGAACCAATCAGAAATTAGCTGGCAGAACTCTGGATGTGCATTACAGTAAAAGTGGTGTAACAGTGACTTGCAGAGCATAGCAACCGCCCTGGGAGGGCCTATGGGCCATAACAACCAGTTGACCAATCAACACAGGACAGGTCGCCCGAGCCCAAAAGTGCACCAATCCTGAGACTGTTGAGTACACTAGATGCTCCCCTTATGCTGCCCAATAAGTTCCCTGCCTCGCAGTCTCTTGGGGTCCTTCTCAGGGACAAAGGGCCTGAGTTAATGGGGTTAACTCACTAAACAATAACCCTTTGCATCTGAATGGGTCTCTTGGTGATTTGGGGGGGTTCATAATTTGGGCACAACAATTTATAGTCATGAAGGTGTTTTGTTTTGTATTGTTTTTAACCAGAAATCTTTCATTAAAAGCAATGATTGACCCTTTGACTTCAGGTGCTGTAAGAGCCCTCCTGAGTACTCAGTTTAAAGTCACAATGTGACCTGCCCTGTGTCATAAAGAGAAATACAGCAGACCTCCATGTTGTCACTCATTTCCAGGGCCAGTCTCATCTTAGAACTAGGGACATGGGGATATTGAAACACAGGCTGTTCATTGTTTGATGGGGGTGGGGTATGGTGTGTCAGGGTGGAGCCAGGCAGATTAGCATGAGTCTGCAGAAATTTTTTTCCTGTTTTTTTCTTTTTTCCTTTTTTAAATTATTTTTTATTTAGGTTAGAAACAATCTTGTTTCACATGTCAATCCCAGTTCCCTCTCCCTCCCCTCCTCCCCCACCCTCCCCACCAGGTCCCCCAGTCCCCGACTCAATCTCCACTCAGATCCCCAAGGAGGGTGAGGCACTCCATGGTGGATCTCCAGTAACTGTCATTCTATCCAGGGCAGGACCTAGGTCCTCCCCCAAGGGTCTCGGCTGATAGAGCCTCCCATATTGTAGCATGTGCACTCAAAGTCTATTTGTACGTCAGGGATAAATATTACCCAAGGCCCCATAGATTACCTAGGCCTCCTCACTGACACCCACATTCAGGGGGTCTGGGTCAGCCCCATGCTTTCCACACAGCCATCAATCTGGAGTCCAAGAGCTCCCCCTTGCTCAGGTCAACTGTTTCTGTGGGTTTAACCAGCCCAGTCTTAACTCCTTTGCCCATCAGTTCTCTCTTTCTGACACTGGATTCCAGGAGTTCAGTTCAGTATTTGTCTGTGGGTGTCTGCCTCTGCTTTCATCAGTCACTGGATGAAGGTTCTGTTTCCTAGACTCTCAGGCAGTGGGATTGTATGCTGACACTCTCCTGATTCATGTCTAAAATCCATAAATGAGTGAGTACATACCATGTTTCTCTTTTTGTGACTGGGTTACCTCACTCAGTATGGTTTCTTCTAGTGCCACCCATTTGCCTGCAAATTTCAAGATTCCATTGTTTTTTCCACTGAATAGTACTCCATTGTCTAAATGTACCACATTTTCTCTATCCACTCTTCAGTTGAGGGGCATGTAGGTTGCTTCCAGGTTCTGGCTATTACAAATAATGCTGTTATGAACGTAGTGGAACAGTCGTCCTTATTGTATGAATGTGCGTCTTTTGGGTATATGCCTAAGAGTGGAGTTGCTGGGTCTTGTGGTAGACTGATTCCCATTTTCCTGAGGAATCTCCATACTGATTTCCAAAGTGGCTGTACAAGTCGGCACGCCCACCAAGAGTGTAGGAGAGTTCCCCTCTCCCCACATCCTCTCTGGCATAAACTGTTGTTGGAGTTTTTTATTTTAGCCATTCTGACAGGAGTGAGATGGTATCTCAGAGTTGTTTTGGTTTGCATTTCCCTGATGGCTAAGGATGTTGAGCACTTTCTCAAGTGTCTCTCAGCCATTTTAGACTCCTCTATTGAGAATTCTCTATTTAGTTCTGTACCCCATTTTTTGATTGGATCCTTTGGTGTTTTGGAGACTTGCTTCTTGGGTTCTCTGTAAATTTTAGAGATCAGTCCTCTGTCAGATGTGGGGTTAGTGAATATCTTTTCCCAATCTGTGTCTTGCTGACTGTGTCCTTTGCCTTACAGAAGCTTCTCAGTTTCAGAAGGTCCCATTTATTAATTGTTGATCTCACTGTCTGTGCTAGTGGTGTTATGTTCAGGAAGCGGTCTCCTGTACCAATTTGTTCAAGGGTGCCTCCCACTTTCTCTTCTAAGAGGTTCAGTGTGGCTGGATTTATGTTGAGGTCTTTGATCCATTTGGACTTGTTTTGTGCATGGCAATAGACATGGATCTATCCACATTCTTCTACATGCCAGCATCCAGTTATGCCAGCACCATTTGTTGAGGATGCTTTCTCTTTTCCATTGTATATTTTTAGCTTCTTGGTCAAAAATCAGATGTTCATACATGTATAGGTTAATATTAGGGTGTTCAATTCGATTCCATTGGTATACTTGTCTGCAGAAACTTTAAGTTTGTCTGTGATGTTGTTTTGGTCCTTGGACAACAAAACGAGGCAATGTGCTTGGGCATGTCTAGAAGAGTCCTGGCCTCTGTGAAGGAAAGAACTGTGCTTTAAATCTGAAGCCTGCTGAAGATCTGTAACAGTCAGTGTTTCTAGCAGTTTAGAACAGGGTTGACCAACTATTGCTCAAGAGCTGAACCCAAGCAAAGCCCAGGTTGAGATGGAAGGAGAGAGTAGAGAGGAGGGTAAAGGGGGGGGAGGCAACCAACCACACACGGGCCCAGCAAACCTGGAACATTTACTATGCGATCCTTTACAAGTTTGTCAACGCCTCATTTTACAACAACCACGAGAGTAAATCATATCGTCTAAGTTCAGGTCCTAGAGAAAATCAGGTGACACAGTGAGGAAGTGCCCACTGTCTTTCTTCACAATAATGCTGCACAACAAACCATTCCCATTCTCTGTGTCTTAAAGTGACGCCACCCTAGTCTCCATGTCTGTGGGTGAGCTAGGCTCTGCTGGGGTGGTAACTCTGACCTTGGCTGATTTCTCGTTCTCTGCGGGCTGACACAGTCAGTGAAGACAGACTGAGCTATCCTGCTCTACACTGTAGGTCTTCACCCCCCCAGCACCTTCCTTGACTCAATGGGCTAGCCTTGAGACACGTTCTTCCCTTGACAGCAATTGAGGCCAAAAGAGTGGAAATGTGTAACAGATCTTAGCAGTAGACTCAGAACCCACTCCCTGCCACTTCTCCTGAATGCCACTGATTGAAGCAAGTCATATGGTACAGCCCAAAGTGAAACGTATCCACAGGAGGAAGGTTGGTGCTTCCTGACCATTCAACAATCATGTGACTTAGGGAGGGTAGAGAATCATGCTCAATAATGCAAACAGAAACAGAGTCAATCCTTCCACAAGTCCAGTCAATCAAAGATCTGGGGATTTCTCAGCAAAGGAGACTGACTCCAGCCCTGCCATGGAGCTCGGTTCTAATGGGATGTGGAAGAATTTAATATTCAGCATGACCCCTCCTGCCCATTCTGCTTTGCTTCACTAGGGGATGGGTGGCTAGCACATTGGTTCCCGGAAGATGAGGCCATCAGCCACGACCAGCTTTATGCCCCTTTGTTCAGAACTGAGCCCTAGGTAAGGCATGTGCTCCATGTCAAGTGAATGGGTGAGTGCTCGAGGCATTTCTGCCTTCCCTTTCTGGGAACCACTGGGTTGCTGTCATTTCATCTGCAGATGGGAAGGAGGGAAGTGACAGACATTCAGATCTCCTGGTTACCAGACGATGCAAAGCTGGGATGCGGAGCAAATGACGAGCGACAGTGGAACTGGGCTTCTGAGAGCATGAATCACTGGGGCGAGAGTGCACAGATGGCACATGCCTCCAAGGGTGTAGAAGTGGGTCAGCCGCTCGAATCGCCATGCAGCCCGAGAGAGACGCGGGAAGCAGAGGCCCTGCAGCAGGCTAGGTAGAGAAGGCTCCAGGTGGACTGGTAGATGCCCCCACCCTGTCAGGGCAGTTCCCAGGTGGAGTGGATTGGTAGATGCCCCCACCCTGTCAGGGCAGTCCCCAGGTGGATTGGTAGATGCCCCCACCCTGTCAGGGCAGTCCCCAGGTGCTTTGACCCATGCCGGGACAGCAAACCAAACTCAAGAGGGAATGCCACGCACAATGCAGGCCCAACCTTCCCTCCCTGGCTAGAACAAAGGTAGCGCTGCGCAGCAGAGGACTGGCCAATAATGGGGCACAGTCCCATGGCCTACCTGGCACCTCCAAGGTCCACCATGTTGGGTTGCACTGAGTGGCAACAGCTGTTCTGTTCAGTTAAAGCTGTTCATTCCAGCCCCAGCTCAGTGTCTTCATCTGTGAAATGGGTCTTAAAATTCTAAGCCAACCTAGGTGAGATGGCTCAGCAGTTAAGGACAATTGCACCCAAGCCTAATGGCCTGCGTTTGCTTCCTGGGACCCACATGGTGGAAAGAGCACTGCTTGCTACAAGTTGTCCCATTGATCTCCACCATGCACCAGCAGTCTCTCTCTCTCTCTCTCTCTCTCTCTCTCTCTCTCTCTCTCTCTCTCTCTCTCTCTCTCTCTCTCTCTCTCTCTCTGTCTGTCTGTCTCTCTCTCTCTCTCCTCTCTCTCTCTGTCTGTCTCTCTCTCTCTGTGTCTCTCTATCTCTCTCTGTGTGTGTCTCTCTCTCACACACACACTAAATAAATAAGTATAATACAAATTTAAAGATATCAGACCCACTTAATTCACAGGATTTTGTGTGAAAACTGAAAAAAACAGTTAGTAAAGTGTAAAAGGCGAATGAGAAACTAACCCCTCTTATTCGAACGAAGGCCAATTCAGGTAAGATGTACAAGAGCTGGTCTTGAGAAAGCCAGTGATGCTCTGAGCTTGGGGAAGAGCCAGGAAACATTACAGTAAAGAAATATTTAGAGCCATGAAAGGGATCGTTTCCAAAGTTAAAAGTGTTATAGGTGGACATGAGAGTCCAGAAGGAGTTTGAGGTTCTGTCGTCTCAGAAGAAGGAATTTGACCAGGACCATGTGGCCAGTGATAGAAACAGAGGCAGGTTATTAGGAAAAAGAGTGCTTCTCAGCAAGACAATGTACTGAAGATGTGGGAAAGGTTAGGTGCGCCATGGCGCCTGCGTTAAGCAGGTAGGGACATTTGTATGGTAAGTGCTTGTCTGCGCATGCTCACCGGCCTTCCTGGGGAGGAGTCTCTTTCATTCGGCTGCCTCCCTCTTCCTCCCATCTTCCGCCACAGATGTAGGATAGCCTCCCTTCTAGGAAACCAAAAAACAAAAGCAAAAAAAACCGTGAGAATGCTTTTCCAAAGCATGAGGAATGAAGGTTTCCGAGGCCCAAGTCCTCTCAGGAGGGCAATAAATATGGGAAATAAGTTATTTTTGAAGGTAATTGAAGTAGAATGTGAATGAATTCAAAACACAACTCTGTCCCTTTAGATAGAAACAAACAGAAACAGTAAGGTGGGGAGGGAGCGCACAAGACCAAGATCAGCGCTCAGAGAACTGACTACAGACACGGGGGTGGGGGAGTGGGGGGCGGGCAGGCATGCCCTGTCCCCTGCAGCTGCCAGCCCACTTCTCCCGCTCTCTGACCCATGCGTCACTGAGAGGAGAGGGGTGACAACAGTGTAGGAACCGTGCTCAGCATTCACTGGGCTGGAGACAACAACACAGTTGATGCAACCCGTGAAAGCATTGAATTGGGTAATAAATCTGGATAAATCATTTCTCTTTATAAAGCAGATTCCCCCCCCTACCTGCCACTCAGCTTGTAACATATAAAGTACTGGGCTCTTCACCTGGACCCGCCTGCCCAGCCCCCATGAAGATCCTGGACACCTTTGAGAAGTGTGCAAACACCAGCAGTATTTATACATCTGGGTAATACATCAAGTATCAGGAGGTGTCTCTAGGCATGAGTTACAAGGCCTCTAAAAGCAATGAGTCTTTTATGGGGTTGTAGATAATGGTGATTTTCCGTAAATCCTGCCAGAGTCACACAATAAGCCAAGAGCAATTAACATTAATTAAATGATCCCCATAAAAAGGTTGCTTTGCTGACACATTGATAACCTCTAAATGCTCTTAGCCTGTTCACATTCTTAAAGGTGTCTCTACAGTTGCACCAGGGATTCTGTTCAGGCTTCTACTGCCCCAGATGGCTGCCCACACATGCAAAACACCATTCAACCTCAAGGCAGCCCTGTGCACATCACTCTGCACCCTGAGATGTGTGCCTAAGTATCTAGAAAGGATGTTAAAACAAGACTCTGACTCAGTAGATCAAGGGGCCTGAAAGTCTGCATTTGTCCCAAGTTCCTTGGCTGTGGATACTAGCCTGCTCTACCAAAGCCAAACACTTTGAGAAGTAATTCTGCACGAAAGCTCTGCAAACAGCCCCTGTTAAATGCCTAGAGAATGGCCTAGAACATCCGGGCCTTTCTTCCATACTTACTTTTCTTTCTCCTTTTACACTCATTTATTTATTGGTGGGCAAGGATGGTGGGGACTCGCATACACCACAGCACACACATGGAGACCATAGGACAACTTGGGGATTGGGTTCCTTCCTTCTATCACATGGGTTCCAGGGATGGAACTCAGGTCTTCAGGCTTGACAGCAATTGCCCTAGCTCACTGAGCTTTTCCTCCACTCTGCTTTTCCAAACCCAGGGGGCGGCAGATGGCAGTACAGTTAAGACAGTGCAGTTCCCTCGAGTCACCCAGAACTGGAAACTTCAGGTAGGAGGAGCAGAAATGGAAACCTCCTCTGAGACAGGTGAAGTCCAGGGACACGTCAACCCTCAGGCCTCTGCCTTCTCCATCTACCCTTTTGAGAAGTCACCTGGGAGCCAGGCCACCGTCGTAAGTCACTGAAGGTGGAACCTTCTCCAGAATGGAAGAGTTAGAGGTCAGAATGTCTCTGTGGTGGAGCCAGAACCCCTGTCCCTAGACAAAGCTCACCTACCTGTGGTCACACTGGGGGCACAAGGCAGGATCTGCATTGCCAAGTCTGCCACATGGCCAGGGATGAGACCTATCACAGGAAAGGAAGAGTGCGAGCCATGGGGGCAGCAGGGACTAGACAAGGGTCAAACACTTGAAAAGCAGCCCAGGAAGTTTTGGCAGAGATTTACTATGGCGTGGGAACAGCCAGAAGGAGGCGGCCGACCCAAGTGCGGCCACCAACAGAAGGGAAGAGCTCTCAGTCAGGTGGAGCGAGAGTTTAGAGGTAATCATGCAGGAACCTTGGGAAGCTCTCAGGGTCCCTCCCAGTGAACAGATGTGAGGCTCTAACAGCCTATAAAGTTGCAGGGTTATAAAACTGTACTATGATATTATAACGGTGTGGCTGTAGGAAGCTATAGGAAAGCCATGTGTGCCTGTGGAAGGCTTCTGTTTTAATCCAGTAATGACGGGACTGAAATTACAAGTGTGTCCTGAGTCTACAGAAAGTTGCTGGTATACCTCCAGTAACCCTGCAGCAACTTCCTGATGCAAAAGAAATTCAATCAGCAAAATACTGAGAAAGGGCAAAGTGAGTTGTTCTCTTGAGTAGAAGAGACCTTAGAGCAGGAAGTCACCAGAGAAGGAGGGTGGGGAGGCTTTACACAAAGAATTCTTGGGATTCCTTGGAGACTGTAATCATCTGACCAAGAAATGTGCCCTTGAGTTTGTGGCCTTCCTTTTTCTTTGCTCTGACACCCTTCCTCCTCTGCAGTGTTTGCAGGGCAATCCAAGCCAAGTCTGCTATTTATAGAGTGAGAGCAATTTTACCACAGGGTGTGGGGTTTAATTTGAAAAGACATCAAGGAGCGAGGGGCAGATGGCTGAGCAGGCAGTGCCTTTCACTGACCTTGTTAGAGCCCACTGCCATAGTTTCAGTTTTAGGGACCCAAAAGTGTGCCCTGAGGATGATCCCTGCTGAGGTAAGGCTCTTTGAGAAAGGAGCAATAAATTGATATGCCAAGTACCTGCTTGTTAATTTCTAATTGATCTGTGATCAGCTTGGGGAATGACACTGGCTGGCAATTTAAGGACTGTTTTCTGAAGGGCTGTTCACCTAGATGGACTTGGTTATGTGTTACAGGGTAATAGATATAGAAGATTCCAAACAAAAGAATTGGGGAAGGAGGCGGGGAACCTGAGGACATTCCTCTCTCAACCCATATAGAACGAATGACCAATTCTTGCTTAGCCCACTCTCCCTTCCCATACGATTAGACCCAGTGATATTAGTCCATTTTTAATAGTTCTCCAGCTATAATGGTTAATTTTGACTGCCCCATGAAATGGCTATATATTTGATCAAATATAATGCTAGGTATTTCTGTGAGGGTGATTTTGAATGAGTTTGACATTTTAACTAATAGACTAAATCCACCAAGTTGTCTTCCCCATTGGGGGAGGGCTACATCCAACTAGTTAAAGGCCTTAATGGAACAAAAGGTCACCCTCCCATAAGCAAGAAGAAATCCATTCTTCCTGTCTGCCTTTGAGTTGGGATATAAGTTTTCTCTTAACTTCAGACCTGGACTAAAACAGTGCTCCTGAGTCATGAGCTTGCTATCTTTCAGACTGGAACCACAGCAAGTGGCTCTCAGGGACCTCCACCTGGCTTAGGACTTGTCAGACTCTTAATCTCATGATTCTTATAAGAAATGCATATAATAAATCTCTTTGTATGTACTCTATAATCCTATGTATCCAATTTACAATCCTATTTGCACGTGCATGTGTGTGCTGCGTGCGTGCGTGCATGTGTGTGTGTGTGTGTGTGTGTCTTACAGTGCTGTTTCTCTGGAAATTCCAACCAATATGCTAAGTGTTTCTAATAAGCAATCAAATTTAAAAACCACTGACACATAAACCGCAGACAAGTAAATGATTAACAAAAGCTGTGCCATTTGGAGAGGGCCATAACCAATGAGCCAGCTGATGGAGAGAGTGCCTAAGCAAGGAGGACGAGGAAGAGAAGGTGGGAAGGAGGGCAGAATCTTTGGAGAAGCAGCTAAGACAGACAGGCTGAGCCTGGGCGCGACGCTGTTGCAGCGGCCATGGTTAGCTAATGCAGAAAGACGTTATTGAAAGGTTTTGCCCAAAGCAATCATATATCATTTTTGTGTTTCAGAAAGACAAATCTGAAAGATATGGAGGAGAGGAGCAAGAAGGCTGAAAGTGAGAGGACACAGTGTAAAAGCCTTCTGGGGACTAGATGTCCTGTCTGCCCCAAATCGCCATGTTAAAGCCCCAAACCCTACAACGTGATAACATTAGAAAAGAAGATATTTGGAAGATAATTAGGTTTAGATGGAGTCAGGAGTCTAGAGACTTTGTGGTGGAATGAATGTCCTTAGAAGAAGAGGAAAGGACAGAGCTTCCTGTCTCCTTCATCTGAGGGTACAGGAAGAAAGTGGCTGTCTGTAAGTCAGGGTTTCTCACCAAAAGCTAAGCAAAAGATGCTGTGGTTGTGAGCTAGAGCAAACAGATTCTATGCGTGTGTTAGAGCTGCATTTACCCAGATTTGGACAACCAGACTTGGGAATTGAGGAGGAGGTGTCGTATACGACTTCAAAGTCCCTAACTTACATTATGGAGAAGACGGTGGTGCTAAGATTGGGAACACAGGAGGAGAAACAGATTTTGTGGAGGATGTCATGAGTTCGGTTCATTTAAATCTGAGGTACCACGGGGCATTTGTTCAGATGTATCCAGGGAGCTGATAAAAATAGGTTCTTGGCCTTCAATAAAGTAATATGCTCTTTATAGGAGACGACTCAGAAATAATAGAATGGAGATGATAGCAGAATTAATAGGTAGAACAATCTGGGAAGAATGTGAAGGGGCTGGAAGCAAGAGCTTGAGATATGTAACTGTTAAAGGACACGTAGCATGGGCACCGTTATCTAAGAGGCTAATAAGCAGTCAAAAGGAAAAACGTAATCCAGGCAGTGGGGTGCACACTTTTAATGCCAGCACTTGGGAGGCAGAGGCAGGTGGATCTCTGTGAGTTCTAGACCAGCCTGGTCTATAGAGCGAGTTCCAGGACAGGCTCCAAACCTACAGATAAACCCTATCTCGAAAAAACAAAACAGAAAAGAAAAGCATGTGAGAATGGCTAAAGAACATCTTCACACATTAATAGTAGAAGGGGTTTAACATGAATTATTAAGTAATGGTAAGAGTGTAATCATATCTCTCAACTGAAGGAAAATGTACAAGTAAGGATACACTTGGAAAATAAATTAAGAACTCTACACAAAATAAGTAAGTATGAAAGTATGCCTCTCTAATCATGGCCAAAGCAGAAGGACTTCTGTGGTGGTTTGAAAGAAATGGTCCCCCAAAAGAGCGGCACTATTAGGAGGTGTGGCTTTGTTGGAGTAGGTGTGGCCTTGTAGGGAGAAGTGTGTGACTGAGGGAGTGGGCTTTGAGATCTCATTTGCTCAAGCTATACTCAGTGTGATAGGTCACTTCCTGTTGCCTGCAGATCAAGATGTAGAACTCTCAGCTCCTTCTCCAACACCATGTTTGTCTACATATGGCCATATTCCCCCATGAAGATTATAGACTAAACTTCTGAAACTGTAAGCGAGCCACTGCATTAAATGCTTTCCTTTATAAGAGTTGCCATGCTCATGGTGTCTCTTCACAGCATAGAAACCCCAACTAAGACAACTTCTAATTTTCCAAATAACAATACACCTAAAATATAGGAATGGTTGATATTGTTGAATGTTTTAAAGATGTCCCCAAGGAAGGTGGGGAGAACAATAGTACCTCAAGGGCAAATGAAGAGAAATATAAGTGATCATGAGCCGGGCGGTGGTGGCGCACGCCTTTAATCCCAGCACTCGGGAGGCAGAGGCAGGCGGATCTCTGTGAGTTCAAGGCCGGGCTGGACCGATAGCCTCCAAAACAATACAGAGAAACCCTGTCTCGTAAAAACGAAAAAAAAAGTGATCACGATTTCTTTTAAACAATAATAAATATATTGCAGAACAGAGAGATGTTACCATAAAATTTAAAGTTTAAAAGAACTCAGGATAGCACTTTCTGGTATGAATGGGTCCATCATGTGCATTCTTCTCTGCCACTAGGTGTGCTGTGTTGGACAGACTGAGTAGGTGAGGACCGCATATTTCTAGTAAGGCAAATGCAAGAGCAAACTAGCCCACTAATCTACACCCCAGCCTAGGAACATAGAGCATCAGCAGCATGGTACTCCAGGGACCTATTTTTTTTTTTAGAAAAAATTAAAATTGAGAGAAAATTTGTCATTTGCCAGGATTTAGTCAACCTTTTTATAACCTGGTGTTTATATCTTCAAGGGAGATGGACTGTCCACTTGTACAAAACACCTTTTCTACTATCAGACTATAAGGCAAAATAAACATCCCTCCTTTGACTTGATGAGGATTCAAATGAGTGACTGTCTGGCTCTGTGTTGGCTCAGAGCTCTTTAGTAACTCTTTGGGACAGGGCAAACTTGCACACTTGTCTAAAATATAGCAGTAGCCCAATCCCTGAGGCATGGATGGAAAATTGGCCCCACCACTTCAAAATCTTAATGTGTATTTCCCCTTCCAACATAATCTTGTTATTAATTATCTGGGAATTTTGTACACTGCTTCCCATCACACTTGCTTCCCATTCCTCCCATGTGTACCCTCTCACCCTTGTGCCATCCCCGCCGAAAGCGACAAGTCCAATTTGTGCTGCCACAGACTCACTGGAGCATGGTCAGACTCGCAGTGGCCATCCCCTTAAAGATAACCACCCTTCCCGCATCTACCCCACCCCACTGCCAGAAGTCGTCAACTGTGAAGAGCTACACCTTAGCATTTTATCACATTTTTTAAAAGACTCTCTTCAATATCTTCTTGTCTGGATTGTTTCTTTTTGTTTTTAAGGGTGGGGGTTGTCACAGAAACCTTCAACGTCTCATTCTCAGTTATGAGTCTGCAGTCTGCAATCATCAATACCACTCCCAGACACCAACATGGCTTCTGGCAGCAACACAGACCACAGACGTTAGCATGGCCTGCACTGGCAGCACAGACTAAGGACATCAGCATGGTTCCCTGCAGCAACATGGACCACGGCCATCAGCATGGTCCCTTGTGGCAGCACAGACCACAGATACACTGACCACGGAAGTCTTTTGAGGAGACTTAATCCAGAAAATGAACCATTCTTCCTCTTGGATATCTTGTTGTTGCTCAGAGTCTGGGTGATCATGCAGTTTGCCAGGGTGTAGGTCCCTTGTAAGCTCCAGGTTGCTGGGTACCACCCTGGTTCTACCCTGCACCAAGGGCACAACCATCGTGCTTGCAGCCTTTAGGCTGCACTGCTGCATCCCTGCACTCTCCTCCCCAGTGAGGAGTGCAAGTGGCAGCAGCGGCGGCAGCAGCAACAATGACCTACCTCACTGTGGATCTGGTGGCTCTTAATGCATCATTTCTTTAAGAGAAAGTCTGCACCACACTTATGGCCCTGTGTGTGGGAACATCCAGGTCTGTTTCCCTACTGGGATGATCTCTAAGGTTCTCCCTGTCTATGAATGCCTACATGGCTGTTCCGCCTCACATACTATGACAGTTGGCTCATCACATTAATGACTCCTAAACACACCCCTTTCTTGGCAGTCACACTTTACATTCCCCTTCCTGGTCTGGGATGTCTCTGTGATGGGAAAACAACTGTCTCTGCATTCTTGACAGTCCTGGGGAAGTCCGGAGGATGTCTGCCTCCAGTGTGAAGATTATTTGGAGGAAGTGAAGACAAAGCCATCATCAGAGAAGGTCCAGTGATGGCAGACTTCAACTGAACCCAGCCCAGGGCTGTCAAGTGAACTAAATGTACTTTTTTAGGAGACCATCAGTAAGGCCAGCAAAAGAGCCACCCAGTTGAGTTCAGCTCTAATTGCAGGATCGTGAGCAAATAAAACAGCTGTCATCTTGTGCCTGAGTTTTAGGACAGCTTTTACACTGGCCTGGAAAGACAAAAAAAGTTACAGTTCTTGAAAACAGAGGTTGGCAAAGGTCTCAAACTAAGTCAAGATCCTGGCCCTTTTCCACAGGGAGGCGATGGAATAAGGTGGTGCTAACTTTGTTCAACCTGTATCTCCAGTATCTGTGGGAATCTGCTCATTTGTAGCTTTGATGAGCCCTGCAGGTTGCAGTGTGTCTTTCACTTGTAAATCTCCCATCTACAGCTGACACCCCAACTACCCTCCCAATCTACAGCTGACACCCCAACTACCCTCCCAATCTACAGCTGACACCCCAACTACCCTCCCAGTCTACAGCTGACACCCCAACTATCTTCTTTGTTGGTCTCCCACAATCTCTGCCCCCACCTATCTGCTGTAAGTTACTTGCTCTAGGGTCAAACACCAGACAACTAAGGGTAGTCCTATGCCTTGGAGACTGTTGCAGCCACTTGTCAGCCTGTCTCTCACATTCTTACCTGCTCCCTCTGGGCCATGACCAACTTGTCCTTCCCTTAGTGGCCCTTGCCCCAGCTAGCCTGGTTTCCCCACTTCTTTTAGAATCTCGGAGTATAACAAACCTTTTCCCATGGTGTGCCATATAATAATAATAATAATGACATATGTATTTTAAAGCGGTGATCTGTGAGTATGAATGAGGGGACAACCCCACAGCCAGTGTCACACCAGCAGAGAGAGAAAGAGAGAACGGATAAGCAAAGGAGTTAAGACTGGGCTGGTTAAACCCACAGAAACAGTTGACCTGAACAAGGGGGAGCTCTTGGACTCCAGATTGATGGCTGTGTGGAAAGCATGGGGCTGACCCAGACCCCCTGAATGTGGGTGTCAGTGAGGAGGCCTAGGTAATCTATGGGGCCTTGGGTAATATTTATCCTTGGCGTACAAATAGACTTTGAGTGCCCATGCCACAATATGGGAGGCTCTCTCAGCCGGGACTCTTGGGGGAGGACCTACGTCCTGCCCTGGATGAAATGACAGTTACTGGAGGTCCACCATGGAGGGCCTCACCCTCCTTGGGGATCTGAGTGGAGATTGAGTCGGGGACTGGGGGACCTGGTGGGGAGGGTGGGGGAGGAGGGGAGGGAGAGGGAGTTGGGATTGACATGTGAAACAAGATTGTTTCTAACCTAAATTAAAAAAATAGAAAAGATGGACAAGGTAGAAGTGGCAGACAAGGACACATTGTCACATGTGTCCCTCAGAGAGACTCACCTCTCCAACATCAGCCTTTCATTGTGTGTCCTAAATTCTAAGTAGCTACATATTTTTCCAATGAAAATAAGAACTGTTTTTTAATATTCCCCCATTAATTTACATGATAGCTCCAGGAAATAATTTGTTGTCTCCTTTATACGGAAGTAAAAATCAAGGGTTAGAATAAATAAAATGCTGCAAGCAGAAGGAGACTCCAACTTTTTTGCTATCCCCAAACAGAATGCTTTTCCTAAATTGTCCCGACAATTTTTGGAAGTTCTGTTGTTTGTCAACATTTCCTATTTGTGTATGTGTTATGTAAGACCCCAATATGTCTTCCCAGTTAAAATTTGAACAAATGAAATTTACATACTAAAAAAACGAATTACATTTTTGGGGGGAGGGGTACATACGTGCCACAGTGTACATGTGAAGGTCAGAGGGCAAGTTTTGGGAGTCTGCTCTCTCCTTCTGTGTGTGGATCTCAGGCACTGAATCCAGGTTGTCAGGCTTTGTGGTAAGTGCCCTTACCCCCTGAGCCATTTCTACAAACCACATTTCATAGTTTCAATCTCCTTTTATTTTTATTATAAGAGTTGTCATTCTCAGTAACAGTTTGAAACAGAAAGAATAAATTTAAAAATTGCTCATACACACTAAAGACTAACCAAGTGATATTCTGGTGTACATCCTCCTAGCCATTTCAAAAAATGTATGCATGTTGGGGCTGTAGAGATGGCTCAGCAATTAAGAGCTCTTTCTGATCCCACAGAGGCCCTGGACTCAGTTCCCAGTGCCCACATGATGTCTCACCACCTTCCAGGAGATCTGCTGCCTTCTTCTGACTACTGTGGTATACTCATGGTGCACACAAATTCCTGCAGGCAAAAACACTCATGCACAAAAAATAAAATAAGCAAATAAAAAACAATGTTATATGAATGTACCTCTTACAAATATTCAAATGTTAAGTATGAGTTATTATTAGTATTTTGTTATTAAAAGTACTCTAATGAGTTTCCTCATCTGTCTTTACATAATTCTTCCTGAAGTCTCCAATTATCTCTAAGACAAATTCCTAGATTTAAAATTGCTAAGTCAAATATAGTTTACATTCTTAATAATTTGTAGATCTACTTGTTAAATTTCCCTCAAAATACTTGTTTTCGTATATCCTAGAGTCTTTTGGTCTTGATACAAAATAACTTACCACTATATAATGTTCTCTCTCTCGTGTGTGTGTGTGTGTGTGTGTGTGTGTGTGATTAAAGCAGAGTCCTTCCCATGCTAAAATGTAAGCAGAGTGCTGACTTTAATCCATATACACAAGTTGATAAGTGGAGACTTTATTATTATCATTATTCCAACAGAGAATATCTGTTTGCCAGAGCTTGCCTACTTAATAGTAGCATGATCATTGCTTTCTCAGACATTCAGAATTATGAACAGTTGATTACCTACATCCTTTAACACACTCTCTCTCTCTCTTTCTCTGTCTCTCTCTCTCTCTCTCTCTCACACACTAACTGTGCAGAAGTAGAGATACACATATGCAGCCCACACTACAAAGTGTACCATTTCCCTGCACCATTTAGGCAGAGGAATACGCCACTTACCCAGTGTGATCTAGAGTCCCCCAGACAGACTCACCTTCCCCAAAACAGCCTTTCTTTGTGTCCCCTAAATTCTAAGTCGCAATACTTCAGCTTCCAGCTGAAAGGTCCATGGCTAAGATGCAGCCAGAATGGGTCAGGCATTAGCAAAGTTAACAGCTGAGCTCTAAGGAATCTAGCAAGGACCTAGCGCCCCCTAGAAAGAACCAAAGTGTGTGAAGGCATGCAGGAGTCCAATAGGGTAAGAGGAACAGGAAGCAGCCTGTTGTGGCCTGGGGACAGAAGGACAGCTTGGCGACAGAAGGACAGCTTGGCGACAGAAGCACAGCATATCGTGTTTCTGAGAACCCTGAGGTGAAAGGCTTTATTGGAAGTGGTCAGAGGGGTCCAGACAATTAACTGGGCTTATTGGACTGAAACTTTGAATTCCTTTCTCTGATGGCCCCTTCACCACATGGGTCAGTAGCATCTGTTCTAACAACACAAACTCCAGTAGAGAAATCACTGCAGGTGAATATACCTGGTCCCTCTTCCTCAGCAAGGTGGCTGGCATTCATTCACGAGAAGATGGTTCTCTGTGGTAATCCTGAGGAGACTTGCTGATGCTGAAGTAAAGCTCTCACTGGCCTCTTCCCTGGCACTGTTGTCAGGATCATCATGGCTTTCTCTCCATGTCTGTCACTGAATTATGGTAATTTTTTCTAGTCATGAGTTTTAATCAGAGTTGAAGTCTCTGAGTTACTGACAGTTCTGGAGAGTTGTAACTGCTCCAGGATTGACTTCACCCTGTCACAAAATCATAACACAAGCAGAAAACTAGAGGCTCTTACTAGCCTCCCTGGCCAATTAAAAACAAGGCTTCTCCCTAAACAGCGGGTTTCATAGAAAGGGGAGGGAGGTAGAAAGTGTCTAATCTCCATGGCCTTCACCAGCAAACGATGACCTGGCAAGGGCAGTGCAGGAAGCAGATGTTGTGGTTTAGCTAGTGTTCTTCACAGGAAGCTAGAAACCATTGCTTTGACACTCAATGGTACTGAGATAGCATCAGGCATGCTTACTTCTCCTGATGTCACAGACACTGTCCACAATCACTTGTTTGTGTCACCACCACAGGCTTGGGCACACAGGTCATGTGCACCCCACCCCTTAGGAGGCCATGAAGCACAGGCAAGTGGCCCATCCTGCCTTGGCTTCTTGTCATCACGTGTAATGGAAACTCCTTCCTGACCAAACAGGACCCCAGCTATGTGGCTGTTTGGCTGAGACAAAGAGTTTGGTAGAGACCACTAAAGCTTTTCTGACGCCACAGGGAAAGTGCATTTCCCACCCTCGACAGCCCCTACACATTTCCATTATGCCGTCAGGGTTCTCTCACATTCTCTAAAGCTAATGTTGATCCGCCTTTTACTGGCATAGTTCTTAGGGATGCCACGTCTAGAATAGGCTGGTCTACAATCTAACTTATCATTCATTGAAGCTCTCATTTGCTTTAAGGTCCCATTCTTAAGTACCTATTAGAGAAACAGGTGACCTGAATAAATCAAGCCAGCATCGGCTAGGTTGGGACACGGCTTAGGTCAGTGGCAAAGCACACACCTAATGGCATATATAAGTTCCTGTGTTTGATTCCCAACACCATGAAAAAGAAAAAGACAGACATAACTTGTACTGAGGTAATAACCCGAAAATCCCAGTAGTCAAAATGAGGGTTTATCGTCCATGCTGCATATCTCAGAGGCAATCAGTAACTCAGAACACCACCAGTGACCCAGGCTCAGTAATGCATCATCCCCAAGAGAGGAGGGAAGTCTTATAAACGGTACCAACCCTCTCATGCTACTAGCCAGAATTGGCCCCATAGCTTCATCTAACCAAAAAAGGGGCTGGAATTTCCATCTGTGTATCTGAAGTCACAGGGCTGGAAATACTGATCAAGGTTCATAAATGACCTCAAATTATCAAACCAGCTGCTTATCTTACACTGAAAAGAAAAATGAAGATTTGCAGAGTCAAGACTTACCCTCCCCACCCACCCCCATCCTATTTGCTTTTGTGTTCCATTCTCATGTTCTAAGCAGGGATAACCAGAAAATAGAGTGGGGATGTTTCTGATGCCTACCCTGTGTTTGCTTGAGGTACTCAGTTCTCAAGGCAGCGGCTTGCCAGAGAGAATCCAAAATTACCCAGACGTGCAGAGGATGAAAAGGATGGAGTGAGAATGTGTGCAAAGAGTGTGCTAAACTATTTAACTTTGGCTGGAGAGAGGGGAGCATTGCGGGGTGGGGGGGAGAATTCAAAGGAAGCTGAGACAGAACCCTCAAGGGGATGGTGAGTGGACAAGAACGAAACTGGACAAGGATAGTTTTGGCTGCTAGCTGCTGGTGTTCTGGAAGCAGGAAAACAGACTAGTCTGTGTGAAGATTATTGCATCGGGCTGAACATGAATCAGTTACAGCTTGGAGCAGAGTCTGAAGGAAAGAGACGTTGGAGATTACAGTGGAGGCATAATTGATGCACAGAGGCAGTGGTGTGCAGAGGATGGATATGGCTGTTGTTCTTGGCCCCAAGAGGATTGCAGAGCTTTTGAAGAGACTTTGCAATGGCAGCAAGAATTTGCAGTTCAAAAACAGAAAGGCGGGGAAATGATATTCCTGCAGCCTAGCAAATGCTATAGATGTGCTCAGTACAAAAGGCAGTGAAGGAAGAAACAAGTTCCAAATATGGCCAGTGATGTAATGTTGGGTGTCTGTTGTCAGGGGAGAGCCACCTCAGAGCTCCTCATGCGCCGTAAGCAACAATTTCAGAGAGTGGGACTGTGAAGGGGCCCCACGCCCAATCTGTCAGCGAATTCCATTGTCTCTGCCTTCAACATACAAGCTAGGTAGACCATCTCAGCACCGCCTGCCACCTTCCTCAAGCCTCCCTCCATGATCTCCTGACAGGCTTACTGCAGCCTCCTGACTTGTCTCCTGTTGAGGACCCAGCTGCCTCTTTCTTAGGAAGCTGCGTTATGATCCTTTCGAAACGGAACCATTTCTCTGCCTGAAACTCTTCAGTAATTCCCCATTCCTCCCAGAGGATCTCAGGGCCTGTTTTAGACCCAGAAAGCCCTGAAGTGTACAGGCTGCTGCGTCTTCCTGCACCCATGTGTATATCATTTCCTTCTTACCCACTTGGCTTTAGGCTCACGAGTACTGCCACTCCCTATGCCAAGCCTCAGTCTCAGGACCTTTGCACAAGCTGTTTCTCTGGGCTTGGGAGTCCCTGCACACGGAACTCTGCTTTGGGGCTATCCATCCTTCTGAGCTCTGCTAAGTATCATTTTGTCAGTGAGGTCTTTAGGACCCAGCTTATTCAAAAGAGAAGCCCAGCTCCAGCATTGATAGACTAGGCCCTCCACTCTTGTCTGGACCAGCTTTGTGTGAAATAGGCTGTCACAAGTAACGTAGTTCACACTAACTTGTTTAATCATAGTAAAAGTGAGTTCCAGGCAGTGGGGAGGGGGGCAGGAGGATTCTTGTGTGGTTTGTTCACTGATGTAACTCTAGTACTAGGAAGAGGATATGAACCCAAAATTAATGTGCACTGATTGAATAGACAGAAACTTACCCTGACCTCATTAGTGCATCCACACGGCATCATAGAGATATTCAGGAGATAAGCACTTCTCTTTCTGAGATGCTTTGTGTAGATCTGGGGTTTCCTCCTCCTCCCTGCTACCAGCTACCATGGATACAGCCTCCTTAAAGGGGGTCAAGGATGTGACAGATGCTTTACATTAGCTTTTATGTTCCCCATAAAATTAACAACAAGCAAACCTTGAATAACGGAGGTGTGATTCTATCTTGCACTTCTGATCTGATACAAACCTTAAGAGCTTGGATCTGGAGGCAAAAAGCCATTTCCAGAACCTTCAATGGGATTATACCTGTGTAATTCATTTACTGTTACTCACTTTATATATGTTTACAGACAAAGAGAAAACTCACAGAGCCAGATACACCAAAGGGGGAAAAAAGACACCTAGTGGTTTTCATTTCTAAATTATAATCATTACACATGACACAATATTCTGCTAGACAATAATACCTCTCAGATAAATAAGAAATGCACTGTTAACATCAAGGCAAACACAATAAGATGGCTTTGTAAAAAAATGAGTATTACCTTGGAATATGATTTTCAATAGCAATATCAATTCAAATGAAAAGTCAAGAGACTAATGGATTTTTAGCCAATGGGACTTTGTACATGGAAATGAGGTCAGAGAAAGCCTTGGATAATACCTTTGAAAGGCCTCAGAAGTTATTGTCCTACTGAAGTTATTTCAATTACACAACCAATAGCAATGCATGGGCTTGCATTATTTATGTCCATGTTTCTAATGAAACAAAACACGTGGGGGGAGTGTGCTGCTAGACACAGGGCAATGACAATCAGCCAGACCCGCCTTGTAAAGACTGGATCTCATTATGCTCCCCAGGTCGGTCCTGACATTCTGGACTCAAGAGATCCTCCTAACATAGTCTCCAGAATAACTTGGACCATGGGCACACAGAATTGTGCCTGCCTTGAATACTCGAGCACATTTAAATAGAGTTAGGCTGGGGAGGTAGTTACAAAGGCTTACTGTATAAAGTAAAGGTGAGGACTGGAGTTTGGAGCCAAAGAACCTGTGCAAAGGCTGGGTGGATATGACAGCACACCTATAATTCTAACGTAGAAGAGAAAAGGATTCCAGAACAAACTAGACCATACCAGTGAGCTTTTGTTTCAATTGAGAGACCTTGCCTTGATGACTGAAGTAAGGAGCCACCAACAAAGATATCTGATGCCATCCTCAGGCTCCGCACACACAAACATGCACCCGCACACATGTGAACATGCACACACACACACACACACACCATATATATACATGACAAAAAAAACAATAAAATGGGCTGAGCACGCTGGCACTCATGTGTAGTCCCAGCTCCTGGGGAGACTGACACAAGAATCATTTGAGCCCATGTCTTAGTCACTGTTCTGTTTCTGTGAAGAGACACCGTTACCAAGGCAACTTATGAAAGAAAGCATTTAACTGGGGACTTGCTTACAGTTTCAGAGGTTTAGTCCATGATCAGCATGACAGGAGTCTGGCAGCACACATGCACTGGCATAGTAGCTGGGAGCTGCGTCCTGATCTAAAGACCAAGGGAGGGACTGGCCTGACAGGGGCTTTTGAAACCTCAGAACTCACCCTCAGTGACACACCTGCTCCAACAAGGTCACATCTACTCCAACAAGGCCACACCTCCTAATCCTTCTAAACCTTTCAAACAGTGCTACCCTCTGGTGACCAAGCATCCAAATATATAAGCCCATGGAGGCCATTCTTTTTCAAGACACCACAGCCCAGGAGTTCAAGTACAGCCTAAGCAACATAGTGAGGCCCCCATCTCCAAAAACTTTAATTTTACAAAGAGTGCTTAAAACTGATATGTTGGAAATATTGATGGAGAAATGACCCCTTACCTTGTGTCTGGCCCATCCTAGATAATAGAACACACATTTCCTCATCCAGTAAATTACAGCTTCAGTTGAGAAGAAACCTACAGCTCTCCAAGAGTTTCCCTGTGAACCTGTATCCATAGGCCCTTTGGCTGCCACTTACAGCCTGTTCCATGCTTAGGCTGCTTTACAGCCTCTAGAGGGTGTGTATACAATTTTACGGAGATTTCTCTGTTCCAATCAGACATGACCTTTCAAATATATAAAACTGTACATGAGAAAACTGCCCACAAGACTGCTATAAAATGCAGCAGTTCAACTCACAAATAGTTTTTGAGCACATTATATTATATGGGACATCATTCTCTAAGGCATAATTGCATTTTGTAAACAAAATAGACTAAACATCATTGCCTCCAGAAAGCTTCTATTCCGTGTATGGACAGTGACATGGACAATTGCCACCCCCCACAACCCGAGGATATTATGTATTCTTTAGATAATAACTGCTATGTGTTGTAGAGAAATATAAAGTAGGGAAGGGCCGGGGATAACAGAATGAGCATGTAATTTCAGAGGGAACTAGGCTAGAGTTCAGAGTGCAAAGATCCTGGGGTGACGAGCACAAAGCAAGCAACATGAGAGCAACGAATGAAGCCGGGCAATAGGGCCTGGGGACAGGAACTATGTCCTGGAGTGACTCGGGCTTGCCATAGTGAAAACCATGGAACCGAGTGGCAACAGGCAATGACAAGTGTTTCCAAATTATCACCTGCCTTTCTCAAGAATGACTAGATGGAGATGGGGAGGGGGGCTACAAAAATAAGGGCAGGGAGACCATTCTGAAGGCATTATTGTCTGAAGAAGATGTCTACCATTCATTCGAGGACCAGTCATCTGGCGGTTATGACATGGATGGATTACAGGTACAATGTAAGAGAAATGGGATGAGAATAGCAAGATTGGTTCTCATCTGATTCCAAAGAATCAGGCAGCTGCTTTAACTATGTATGATCTTCTCTCAGCTAGTCCCAGGGCCGTGTGACTTGTGCCACTCACCCACCAAAATCCCAAAGAGGCATCACTGATAATACTGAATGACGACACTTCAGAGATGTGGAAAGACCAGAAACTCATGACAGAGCTAAAGGGTTCGGAAGTCAAGGGAAGGTGTACATGTCTCCTGGTCTGTGTTGGAGGTGGGGGTGTCACCCTGTCCCTCCTCTGGCATACTTTTTTATGACCCATTTGTGACCTTTCTAGGAGCTCTGAGCAACAGAAACATAGAGTGCCGTTTCTGTGTTTAACAATCTCAACTTTATATGTTCTCAGGAAGCATATAAAGGTATCCTCTACTTTCTCCTACTGTTCCCCTCCTCCCCACCTCTTCCTCTTCCTCCTCTTCATCTTCCTCCTCCTCCTGTGACTATGCTTGTTCTCCCCAGGGTCAACAAGCTGCTGACTCACACCCCTGAAAACAGTAAGTCCATAGGGACTGTGCTTGGATTTTGAGGTTTCTGTCTTGTCTGTGAACTGATGATTGTCCCTAACCTCTGACTTTCTTCTGTTTTTCCTGTTGGTCCTAGGTAAGGTAAAGCCCCAAGCCAAAAGCAATAGCCCAAGATTGCATGGGTCTTTGTCTGAGATGTAGGGTTACAGCTAAAGAGAGTTTTCAATGAGTGAAGTCCTCCTCGTACCAGAAACCTGTACAAGGTCATCACTGTTTTGCTTCCTAGTACCTTTGAAAATCCAGAGAAAAGTTTACACCGGAGAACATGTATGTCAGGAAACCTGAGTTTTAGTGGGTACTCAGTTTGTAAATTGTGTCTTTTAAGCATATGTTGTGGCAGATGGTAGTTGATATCACGGTGTGTTCAGCTAGATGGGGTTCTCGAAGACACTCATGTTCCATCTGCACTCTCCAGAGGTCAGGACATTCTGATACTTGAGAATCCATCAAGGCCAAGAAGACTCTCAGAATGACGAGTAACAGTAATGGGTTGGCACTGGGCATGTGCTAATGAAAACACTAAAAGGTCTCCCCAGAGTGGAAAATACCAAACTCAGCCCAGCATCAGTGCTTCTTCTGGGAAGGCTGTCACCCTGATCTGTGATGTCCTATCAAGATGAAATTGGAACCAAGTGTACTTTATTCAGGACATCTGGAGATAAAAAACATAGCGCTCTCTTTCTATCTTTGTGACATTGTTCACGAAGATGTGATCTGGCTGTTAAAACCATTTGCTCTGTATCTCAAGGCTAAGGCTGACAATTCAAATAAAAGCCTCTGTCTTTCTCTTTGGTTTGTTATCTGAACCACGGCCGGCTGTCATGGCCATTCTTTGCTTTAGGACACTTGGGAAGACTGACCTGCCAGAGACTCCCACCTGGCCCAGGATTCCCATTTCCATTTCATTTCCTGGGTTTCTGGAGAGCTTTTCTCTTGTTTTGCTTGATGACCTAAAACCAGATGCAGTGTGAAAAGGAAAATCTGGATGTTTAATTTTCATAGTTCTATTATATGTTGTCTGTAGAAAAACCCTGAACCCATGTTGCTACAAAGAAATGAGGAGATTAGCATTGTGAGTATTAAAAGGCTTCTGAGCTCTCACCTATGCTCAGGTGTGCATTGGTTTGCGTTTCTTGTTGCTTTGCTGGAGTTAGAGCCAGGGCCTCAAGCATGCATAGCAGTGCTCTGCAGTCAGCCACCCCCACAGGCATGTTTCATTTATGTCCCTAAGAGGAGGAGGAGGGGGTTTGAAAGCACAATTTTGTAAATTCCTCATTAATAATTTATGACAAGCCTCTTCCAGCAACCTTTAATTGTCAACAGATGTGGACACACTACTTTTCGCCATCATCTTTCCTCTGAAAAGAACACCATCCCGGACGTGTGCCTCTGAATGATCATCAACCACTCTAGATAGTTCAGTAGAAGAAATGCTACAAAGTGGCTCCCACCACACAGTGACAGTGTCACAAGGGAAGAATCCTATCTAAAAATGCAGATTCATAGCTGTGACTCTGGAAAGTTCTGTGTCCTTATTTGCCCAACTTCAAGTCTCCCCAGAACTGCACGTCTGACTTGGTATCAGTCCATCCTGGCTGGCAAAGGGACCCTTCCTTCCCACCACCCCTGCCCAAGCTGTCCCATTTACTTTCCCTTCTCCATGGGGATGCATCTAGCTTCCTTGTAACATAATCTAAAGGGACTATTACCCTACTTAAAGAAAAAGTTTCTGGACTGGGAGTGTAGCTCAGTGGTAGAAAATTTGCCTAGTGTGTGCAAGGTCCTGAATTTGATCATGGGCCTCCACAGAAAAGACAGCTGTCAGATAAGCACACCTGTTTATCCTTGCTTTACCTTGGTGTTGGAAGTTCAGTAAACTTGGGGCACTGAGAAAGGTAAGGAGAGATGCTGGTTAATTTAAAAACAAGTGCTCAGAGTCACCACTATGGATCTAGACCTGGGTAACAGCTCCTAGGTCAACCCTAAAGATTGGTAGTCACCGGTGTGACACTGTCTTTTAATTATGACGTACTCCGGTCAAGAGTCATCAAGGAAAGCTGTGGTAGTCTGAGGAGGAATGATGTGGCCTTCTTGAAGGAAACTTCACTTTTGGAACAAGAGTTTAGTGCGAAGTGCCCTCGCTTGTTTCTTACCTTGGAGCTGACTCTGCAGCAAATCAGGCCAGCTAGAGCCTGTGGCCAGCATTCCACGTGGGCAGTGAAGTGGACAGGACTAGCCAGGGGCCACTGTGGTGGGTGAAGGTGCCGGAGGCCAATGTTCTTGGTGACAGATGGATCCCTATTTATACTCTGTTTTTCAGTCAACACAGATAGCCATTTTCAATTGTATTTTGTTAAAAACATTTTGAGGCATGAGAGTAGACGTGACGGCTTCTGTCTCAGTAAGTGATCAAGAAAGCCAGATGCACTTAATTGTTGAGTTCTCCTCTGAGTTGTGGAATGGAAGGGGAGAGAGATACTCAAACCAGAAAAACCTGGCTAGCACAAGGCTCAATTATTACTAATTGGCTCACAGAAGAGACTGTGTGTGCTCTAAGATCTGTCATAGTTCTCTCATTTAAAGGCAACTAGAAGCCTCCTACCTCTGCACCTGACTGGTTCCCCTCCCTGTCAAATTCTTTTCGGCTATTTATAAACAACTTCCACCACCCACCCACCCTGAGCAGTAAGAGTCATATATCATATTAGGACAAGGAATCTGTATGCAACTTGTTGCTTTATAACTGAAAATCTGTAACTTAGTGTCTCTTAGCCAACTGATTACACTTTCATGCTAAAAATAGTTGTCTATATGTAAAAATTATCAATATGAGTCAGGTAAGAAAAAACTGGGAAGCACAGCTTTCAAATATGTACATTCTGGATTGAAAAGGCAGCAGAAAACAGAGCCATTGAAACAAAATTTCATTTTCATGGAGCAGGTGAAGGTCAGGGAACTTCCTCTGAAAATGACATTCTATAAGCATGGAAATCACGGCTGTTCTCAGGAAATGTGGCAAGGGCTGCAAAGATGCCTGCAGGTGCTGACATTTTCACTGGGTAATAAATTTTGAGCAACAAATACATCAACAAATATCTAGCAAAGAGAGAAAGAAAAATCTAAAAGACAGACTCATTTTGAGATAGAAACCCAGGCAGTCCTTGGATTTGAGAAAGGAGAAGATTGTTGGGGAAACAAAAGGCAAAATAGGACACTTCCAGTGACTGACACCCATCTGGCGGTGTAAGGGCAAAGGAACCATGGACAAGTGTGGGGAACGGAAGTCACAGCTAAGAAATCACATGGCCATCATCCTTTAAAGGACCACTCCTGGAAGAGAACTGCCCGACACATCTTGAGCAGAAACATGTTCAACTACAGATGGGTGTGCTGGAGTTTTTTTATCAACTTGAGACAAGCTAAAGTTATGGGGGGATAATTAAGAAAATGTCTCCCTAAGATCAGGCTGTAGGTAAGCTTAATTAGTGATTGACAGGAGAGGGCCCAGCCCACTGTGGGTGATACCACCCCTGGGCTGATGGTCCTGGGTTCTAAAAGAAAGGAAGCTGAGCAAATAGGCAGCACCTTCATGGCCTCTGCACCAACTCCTGCCTCCATACTCCCCCCCCCACCCGTTTGAGTTCCTGTCCTGACTTTTTTCAATGATGAAAAGTGATTTATAAGTGTAAGCCTAGTAACCCTTCTTCTCCAAGTTGCTTTGGGCATAGTGTTTCAGCAGAGCAATAGTAGCCATATCTAGGACAGAAATTGGTATCAGGAGTAGGGTATTGCTGACAGACCTGACCATGTTGGGTTTTTGTTGTTGCTGGGCTTTTTTTTTGTTGTTGTTTGCTTTTTGTTGCTGTTTTGGTTTTAGACTGTGGAATGACTTAGGTATTTGGGGTGAGAAAAGCCATTGGGTGTTCAAGGCTTGGTAAACTGTTCTGTGGGAGCTAGTTTGGAAGAGAAGAATGTTGAGAGTAATGCAGGTGATGGAGGCCTGGCTTGTGTAGTTTCAGGGGAGAAGTTGGGAGCCCCTTAATGACTCTGATAGAGTAGTTTATTGTTTAGAGTTAAGAATCTTGTGATTCTAGTTAGCCAAGGCAGAAAACTCAGCTATAATATCAAGATACCAGAACCACTGAAGTGAAATCTTTGCTTTACTGGGACAGTTGACAATGGTTAGCTGGAGCTAAGAAATAAGTGGTAATTAAGAAAAGGCCAGCATCACTGAGGTAAAATCTTCTGGGAAGTGTTTCCTCAGAGTCAGCCATATGCCAGCTGTGTTTAGAGATGGCCAAGGTTTTACCCTGAGTTAGCAGCCAAATTTAATAGTATAAGAGTCACCAGGTGGTACTGGTTTTAAAGGCATGAAGAGATCATAAAAAGCAGATGGGGCTTGTCACTGTGAGAGGCCAGGAGAGGCCGTTGCTGAAGGTGCATCTTGAGTAACAAACAGCAGATGTCGCAGGATTGAAGAGGTCATGGAGAAAGTTGAGGCTTTATACCATGCCAAGAGCCCAGACGAGCCTATTGCAGCCAAGGACCCTGGCGTTTTGAAGGTGCCAGTACCATGGGATGACCACCAAGAACAGCATCACTGGTAGAGGTGAACCTGCCTGAGCCTAGCAGACAAGGTTCATGTGCTCCAGAGAGCAGAGCCTGAAAATGATCCAGGTCTTTGGAGGAAGCAAGATCCTGAGTGAATACAAGATACTGGACACTGAGTGGTCTGCACTGTTGGAGCCGGGTTTTGCTTTGATGTGATTGTGCCCTGGTTCTTTCGTCTGGTAATACGCAAGTATTAGGCTTAATTTTGATCTTACAGGAGCCCACAAATGAGAGTTTTTGAAATTTTAAAGGATATTTTGGATTTTTAGAGACTGTACTTCCAATATGTTTGAACTTGTAAAGACTGTGGAGCTTTTAAACTTATTTGTTTTATATTGTGCTATCATCTTGGGGGTAAATGAGAAAGGAAAGTTTCTACTTGAAAAATGGTGTCTGTGTGTTGTGTTGACATAAAACTAGCCAACGTAATTGACTCCTTGTCAACTTGACACAGGTAAAGTTATCTGAGAGGAGGGAACCTTAGTTAAGAAAATGCTTCCATAAGATCAAGCTGTAGGAAATGAAGGAGGAAGTGACGGGGTGGGGACAGAGGGAAGTGGTGGGGAAGGGGCGGAAGGAGAGGAAGAAGGGGACACTGCAGCTGGGCTATAAAATAAGTTGATTAATAAAAAAAATCAAGCTGTAGGTAAGCCTGTTTTCCATTTTCTTAATTAGTGATTAATGTGGGAGGGCCCATTGTGGGTGGTGCCTCCCCTGGGCTGGTGTTTCTGGGTTCTATAAATAGTCTGAAGCCTGACAGAGGTGACTCATGCCTGAATCTCAGCACTCAGGAGGCAGAGGTAGGTGGATGTCTGTGAGTTGAGAGTCAGCCTGGTCTGCAAAGCAAGTTCCAAGACAGTCAGAGCTGTTATATGGAGAAACTCCATCTCAAAACACCAGAACCAAAACCAAAATTAAAAAACGGAAAAAGAAGCGGGCTGAGCAATGGAACAAGGGGAAGCAAGCCAGTAAGCAGCTCCCTCCATGGCTTCTGCGTCAGCTCCTGCCTCCAGGTTCCTGCCCTGCTTGAATTTCTGTCCTGACTTCCTTTGATGGTGAACAGTCATTGACAAGTGTAAGTGATAAAACCGGAAGTATAAATCAAATAGTGACCCTAAGTAGGACAAGGGGACATCACTGTCATTTAAGAAAGCCCCCTTTTCTGGAAAATGGGGTTTCCCAAGTTCAAATTTTACTGCTGCTGTTATTAGACTAAGCTTAATTACTTAACTTTCCAGTAGTTTTACATGGGTAATTTATTTGAATAATTACAAAGTCTAGACAAAGCTTGTAAGATAAAAATAAGTCAAAAGTTTAAAAATTAAAATTAATTGAAGAAATCAATTTGATAAGTAGTCAAACAGTGATTTTTTCCATGAAAAATAAATTGCCTATTAATGAGTAAATTTAAAATTGAATGCAGTCAATTTGCACTGCCTGTGCTAACAGAAACAACCCACAGAGACCCTAAAACTTGATTTCCGTTTCAATTATTTCTTTGTTTCCATACATGCACGTGTTTGGCAAACAGTCTACCACTAACCTGTCCTAAATTCTTCCAGTCTTTAAGCTTCTTTGTTTTCTTTTTAGCTATTAAACATTTATTAAGAGTTTATTGACACTGGCCTGTGGTGGCACATGCCTTTAATCCCAGCACTCGGAAGGCAGAGGCAGGTGGATCTCTGAGAGTTTGAGCTCAGTCTAGCCTACTGAGCAAGTTCCAGAACAGCCTCCAAAGCTACAGAGTAACCCTGTCTCAAAAACCAAACAAAAGTCTCAAAAAACGAAACAAAAGTCTATCGTCCAGCAGTGAGTCTGGAACCACAGGGCTAAGCCACGAGCATCAGAGCACCTTCAGTGGCTTCCTTTTACCAGCTTAGAAAAGTCACGCAACCTCATAATTAATCAAAAGGGCATTGGCCCAGATAGTGAAGTGCCTGCCACCCAAGCATGGGGACCTGAGTTCCGATCCCTGTCACCTACAAACAAGCTGGGCACTGCACTACACATCTGTAACTCCATGCTTCAGGCCAGCAAAAGGTGTGGGTCACTGAAGCTCACTGGCCAATCAACCTAAATAATAGTGTCAGTGAGAGACCCTGTGTCATAAAACAAGGTGAAAGATACTAATGTAGACTTTCCACTTTGCACATAAACACACATGCAATCACATGTATACTACACACGCAAATAAAGAAAAGTGTACTTACTATATATGAGCATATTCTTTCCAAAGGGTTTGCTGATGTTGTTTTGCTACATCTCATTCTTAATCCCAAAGAAAATAACTGGAGGAAAGGGAGGAAGAGCAGAAAGTAAGCAAAACGCTATAGAAACATGAGCAGAAAAATGAGACAAAAATATGAAAGCAGGGGATAAGTCATTTATAAACAACTTCAGAGTGGATCACAATTTCCCCCTGGAAAATATAAAACTGTAAAATTTATGCTTTTAAATATTATGACTGAAAAGTCACAGAGTGATATAGTAGAGGGCATGGGGATGAGATGCCATTCCAGTATGCTGCCTGAAGGAAAAGGTTAAAGAACACGAGTCCCCATCCCCTGTGCCTGCAGAGGTGACCTGACGAAGTATAAGAAACAAGTCGGTCAAAGCAATTAATGGCAAGCTCATTCCACAAATATTTGATGTATGTCCACAGTGAGCTAGGTACACAGTGATATACAATCAATGTTTCTTGAACCAGTAAATGAAAGGGAATAAAGAACTAGCCAATGCTTCTGGATATCTATCCATCCTTTAGTCTCTGGATCCCTCTGCTAGGTAATTGCTTCCCCTAGGCTCCTATTGGATTCACACATAAATAATCTTACATCTCTGTTGCCATGACTTCAGGATCTCATGGGCATTTACATTCAGTGTGTATCCCCTATGAAGAGGGGTGCCTGAGCCTTCAGTTAGGCATCAACAAGTCACATGTTGTCCATGATACCACCTGGGTGAAATACCCATGCTTGCTTGGGCATGGTGACACTGGATACACTACAGATCTCACAGTGACAGAGATGCCCTCATCCATCTGATACTGTGGCACAGTTTCAGGCTGACCAATGAACGAAGAGTATATTAAAGCCAAACAAAACCAGGCTGGCACCAAAACTGAGAACACAGACAGCAAGACCCAATGTGACTACAGATGTACAAAGGAAATCTTTGGAGAATTCGGCACCCCAGTGCTAGCCCAGAAGCCAGGGGTTAAATAATAATGAACACACTCATACATGTGTGTCTTTATGAACTTCTGCAGGTGAATCTAATGCACAGTCGAGAATAAGAACACGATCAGAGTGCTGGGGAGAAAAGCAATGATTCCTTCCCAAGTCCTGCGAAGGTCAAAGCTGGCGTCTGTCTAACAAGACAGATTAACAACAGAAGAGCTGAACAAATGTTCCTGAAGTTCTATGTGACCTGAGAGCCTCCAAATATTTAGACTGAAGGACCCAGAGAAAACTGCATTTTTATGCTAAGTCCGATGAAATGCTTGGATAGTTATGGAAGAACATGACTACACACAAATGTGCCCTGTTGCTATTAAGCAGGGGTGTGGAAACTCTAGCAAGGGCTAACTATTCAGATCCTTCTCTGGGTCTCTGTAAGACATTCCTTCACCCTGTGTGTGAGGCAGGACACCTCAGAGCCCAGGTCAGAGAGTAACCTTCCCAGGCTTTACGACTTGCTTTGGGGGGAGAATTGTAATAGAAACAAGAAGGCAGAGATCCAAGAAATGTTTATTTCTAAGACCCTCTGAGTTTCTTCTGTTGTGGTATACAAAAACACTCTACATACCAATGTGCTGTACTTTGGGGGATTACAAGGCAGGGAGGTGGTTCTGTGGTTAAGAGTAGTTGCTGCTCTTCCAGAGGACCTGTGTTCAATTCCTAGCATCCACATTGAACAGTTCATGAGTACCTGTAACTCCAGATCCCAGGGATCTGACACTTATGACCTCCATGGTTACCAATACATATAACACACACACACACACACACACACCACAAGTAAAAATGAATTGTAGGGCATCACGTCCCAAACCTTCACTGCATCCTCACAGAAGGTTCTAGTTATTCCTCCTCTGTCCTCCAGGTTCTGCAGTGGAAATGATGGGTCTTTCAAGCATAGAAAACTAAATTACTAGATGAATACTTCTCAGAGTGTTACAAGGCTTATCACAAACCAAATCACTAGAGAATGCTTGTCAATCTGAAAGAAAAAATAAAAACAAGTGAGAACATTTTCAGAGTAAAGTTAAGTGATCACTGTTAAGTGGTAATAGAATATGTCCACACCTTGATGACAACACTATGGGTCTTTGGAGCTTTTGCCTAAGTCTTTCCCCACCTCTGGGTCATTTAGTGAACTAGGAAGTCTCTGGAAATCACTCTTGCTATCTCCTCACCCAATCAATTCCCTCTTTGGCATCTGTAACTGAGTAACTTGTAATTACTCAGCAAATTAGAAGTGCCCCCCCCACCACAGTACTTAATCAGCTTTTCCTGTTTGTTTTTTGTAAGAGTAGGCCCATGGTGTCCATCTGCTTAGGAAGAGATTAAAAGTTGAAGTATCCAGAAAAAGCAGGAGCCTGGCACTTAGGTCTGACATGCCAAATAGGATTATGCAGTAAAACAATAGTTTTACAAGTCAGGCATTTTCACTGAGAGGATTTTCCAAATTACTCTAATATGCACTTTATTGAGGGCCAACAATGGTGGTGTTCTGCTGTGGGAAGCTATGCCTTACCCCCTAAGACGGAAAAGCCAGGGAAACCTGAGACTCCTTTAGTACGTGGTACAGGGAGATGTTAAGAGAAGCTTTCTTTGAGAGAAGCCTTCCTGCCCGCCAGTCGCCTGGGCTCTGCCGCGCCAGCCTGGTTCTAGATCCGCATGAGTCCCAAATAAACACACAGGAGGCTATATTAATTATGAAACTGTTGGCCTTGTTTGTCTCTTACTGGCTAGCTCTGCTTTAAGTAATTACCCCATAATTGTTAATCTAAGTATGTCTCTTACCGGAGAATAGTTCCGGGCTTCCTACCCATGCGGTTACATCTTGAACTCCTCTCTGTTTCTTCTTCTTCCCAGAGTTCTCCTGGACTCCTAGTCCCTCCCATCTTGGTTCCCTATAGGCTCAACAGTACTTTATTGACATAAGACTTCCCCAACAGGAGAACTATTTAAAAACGCCCAAGAAGAGAAGGTGGGGAGAAGGAGAAGAGACAGGAGGATACAGAGGACCATCAAAGGCCGCTGTGGTTGATGAGGACAGTGATGGCAACACTGAGAGCGAATGTGCCCCCATCTGCTCAGGACTCCAGAAGACACCACCCAACGGAGGACTTGTCTCCTTCCCATTGACCCCGCAATGCCACACAGGCAGGCTCTGAGAAGAGTTTTGCTGAGCCTCTCTCTGGTAGGTCAATATAATTTCTGAGTTGAGTGCAAAGAAATTCAACTTTTTTTTTTAAGTCCTGGAAACCTTTATACCATTTCTGCCAGGCTTGTTGAAATACTGAAACTAGTTCTACAAAGTGGGACTGTTTTGTTTCTATCCATCCCATTTGATAACTCCACAAGATGACTGAGTTAGGTGCTTTCCTATTTGGTGCTAACAAACTATGACCTAGTCCTCACGAACAGGTAGAGTTTATTTACTCCTCAGTCATGTGTTGAGTACTGTAATGTTCCTGGTTCTGGGATAGCAGATGCAGAACTAGCCTCAGAGAGTGCACAGTGAAGTAGAAAAAAATGACAGTGTAAACAAAGCTTATAGTAGTGTGAGTTGAATTGTGTGCTCCCACAAAAACACACACACACACACACACACATTCACGGAAGCACTGCTACCCCATAGCTGAGAAGGTCCTTTGTTGGAAGTAGGGTATTTGCAAATGAAATCAAGTTAAATGATATCATACTGCTTTGAGAGTTTAATCCACTGCGACTGCTATCCTGATAAGTAAAGAGATATAGGCCACAGACAGACACAGGGGACAATGCCTCCTATGTAAAGAAGTGACAGAGACTGGAGTACTATAGTTTAACTTGTGAATGCCCTCCAGAGACTTGTGTTAAGGCTTGGTCCCCAGCATGTGGCATTATTGGCAGTAACAGGAAGAAATTTAGGTCGCTGGGGATTTGCCCTCAAATGAGACAAGAGGCCCAGGCTCCCCTCTTCCTTTTCTTTTTGCTTCTCTGCTAAGGAGTAAACTCACTACGCCCCTTGTTCCTGCCCTGGTATGCGTCACCACAGGCCAAAAGTAATGAGGCTAGCTGGCCATGGACTGAAACCCCCAACACCATGTGCCAGCATAAACCTTTGTAAGCTGATTGTCTCAGACACTTTTTATTGTAACAGTCAGCTGACCCACTTCACCTTAAGAAAAGGAATGCCAAAGCCACTACCAGAAGCCAGGAAAGAGACCTACAAAGGAGTTACCCTTAGACTCTCCAAGAGAACCAATCTACTGGTTTTTTTGCCACCCTTTTATGTCATTGTGATGACTTGAACAAAAATTGCCCCCATAGGCTCCCATATTTTAAGGCTTGGTCGGCTGTTGGTGGAGCTGTTCAGGAAGAATTTGGAGCTGCCTGGTGTTTGCAGATACCTAAGCTCTAAGCTACTGCTATAGTGCCAGACCTGCCTGTCTGTTGTCAGGCTTCTCACCAAGATGCTCATGGACTCCAACCCTCAAGAACTGTAAGCTAGCCCCCAATGAACTCTTCCTTTACAAGCTGCTTTGGTCATGGCGTTTGTCATGGTAACAGAAAAGAAACTAAGACAGTCACGTTCTTGAAGCGGTAACTCTCAGGAATTACAAATACTATGTAAGAGGAGCGTCAACGGGGTATTCATGCAGCACAGGGCAAGCTCCTTGCTTAGACAGTGGAGTGCTCTTTTTGTGTTGGGTGGTGCAGGAGTGGCTGGGGGCAGTAGCTACTCAAAAGTGGCAAGCTTTGCCAAAACAAAGCCGGTAACTGCAGTAAAAAGCCTATGCTGAGAAGGCCCCAGAAGGAGCTGGGTATGTGGTAGACAAAGATGAAACTCAATTTTGAAGTGCAGAGGGGAAGTTTTCCAGTTGCATAGCTATCTAAGATGAAGAATCGGTGACAAAGCCTGAAAGCAGGACGCGGTGTTCTCCAAGAGTCTGTGAGATGCTTTTAGGGCAGCAAGAAAAGAAGCCACGGGGACTGAGGCATGGGGGACAACGCGAATTCCTGAAGATGTGCTGCAGTTAGCTGCCAGCATCCCACGCGAGCAGGGGCCTGGAGCCCCATCTTCTTCCCAAGAGATGCCATCTTTATTGTTATTTACTTTCACCATCTTGACACTGTTGACTGAGTGGATTTTTTCAACAAGGGCTTTCTGAGTTGAAACGGATTCATATCTTTTTTTCTACAAGATTCCAAAAAACAAATACAGACCCGGAGGATGCATATTCAGAACGAAAGGATTTTTTCTAGGTAAAATCTACTCTGCCATCTCTTAAGACAAATGAGTTCAGTTGCGCAAATACATTCATGTCAAACTACTTCAGAAAGCAATATGCATCAAGCCCCGTAGATCATGTTTGAGTTTTTCATTCCAGTGTTAGACAACACTGTAAGTCACAAAAAGAGAGGAGATGGAAAAGCTTGAGCAATTGTTTTTCATTGTTGAACAGGTTTTGTTTTTTTAAACAAAGTTCCAGTCTAATTGAAATTACTTGCCAAGGTAAACGTGTTTACTACGAGGGGAAATGCTTCCTGATGCAGGTTGAAGGAACACAATGAGACTGTGGGTAGTGATTTTGGCAAGTGTTGTGGAAAAAGTAATTAACTCAGGTTTTCAGAGAGTGATGATGCAGGCCTGTCTTTCATACTTTTGGAAAACTTTCAGAGAGAGAGAGAGAGAGAGAAGCTGGCTGGGCTAAGGGTTTCCCAAGGGTTTCCAGATCCAGATCTGCTCTGATATTGCTTTCCGTATGTTTACATTTTCAGCTTTAGTGAAGAAGATTTGGGGCAGAAAGAGCTATTTTATTTGCCATAACCTAAAATCTCAGTAGCAGCAAGCGATGCTCTTTTTCTCTTCCGGGAAGGCCGGCTCTGCAGATCCAGGAATGAATGATGATGGGCAAAAGAAGAAAAGCAGGAAGGCTGTGGGTAATTACGGATCTAAAGTCCAAATGGCTGGTTTTGATCAACGTGTACCCTTTGCCTGATGCTACTCCATTTGTTCATTTATTGGAGTTTAAAACTGAGCCCTGTGCCCTCCAGCCTCAGCAAGCAAAGCCATAATTTAAAAGTGCCCAAACACAAATGTGCTATTTATTCCCATGTAAAAGAGTCATTCTTAAAGCGACTTACAGTTTTTTTCTTCAGGAAGCTAGATTTTTCACGTTATTTACCATGTTGTCAATTTTTACCATCATTAATAATGATAATGACAATCACTGAGACCCAGCAATGTGCTGGGGAATAAATAGAGCACTGAACTAGGCTATAGCCCAGCCCAGCCTAAAGAAACAATGGTGGCTTTGTTTCACCCCAGAGTTCACAAAGGGAGGATGGCAAATATCAAGGAGGTTTGGACCCATTATCTTCCCTCATCTTTTTTTTTCATTTCAAAGCTCCCTTTTTGCGATTCCTTGTGCATACAGAGAGTGTGACTCACAGCCAGCCTCTGTGTACGACCTGGCACTGGCTCCACAGCCCTTAGAGTTCTCCAGGCTGGCACAAATTGCTAGATGCCCCCAGCTGAGTGGGACTGGATGTCAGTGCCACTGGATGCACTATTAATGGAATCTGTTATCAAGTCACAAGACAAGATGCCAGTCTGGCACCATTCTGTAAACTGGAAGTGCATGGGGGGGGGCACAGACTCCCTGTCTGACAAGGAATAGCTAAGCCGTGAAGCCAATTGACTGAGTACCTATTAGGAATCAGCCTGTCACAAATGACTCTACTGCGGCCAAGGGAGGAGTGTGTGTTTGTGGGTCTGTTTGTCTGTCTGTGTGCGTGTATGTACTTTCATCAGCTTTGTAAATGCATGTAGAAAATCATTTGGATAATAAATAATAGCTAAGATTCTTGGCTACTGTCTTGCCTGGATTAATGTGTTCTGATAGCATTATGAATATAAATATAAGTGAAACATTAGGAGCAAGAGTAGAAATTGAATAATAACTCTTTTCTGAAGAGTAATTGCTTTGGAATAATTTACCCTCACAATTTTCATGGGTGCCTAAAATAAATACATAATTTGTTTTGATCATTTCACTTTATAAAATTTTGCTTAATGCAAATCTGAAGTAACATCAACCTTCACTGCCCCTGCTTCCCACTCTAGGGGTTTAAAGATAAGGAAGATAGTTGTTGCGGTTTGATCATGTCTCCCACAAGCTCATTGGTGGAATTCTTGGCTTCCAGTTGGTGGCATTGTTTGCAGAGATGGTGTAACTGTAGGAGGTAAGCCTTACCTGGAAGAAGGTGGGGGTGATTTTGAAGATCCCTGGTTCCTTCTGTTCTCTTCCTCTCTCCCTCCCTCCTTCCCTCTCTTTCCCACCCCTCTCTCTCCATCCCTCCCCCTCTCCTCTCTCTCTCTCTCTCTCTCTCTCTCTCTCTCTCTCTCTCTCTCTCTCTGTCTCTGTCTCTCTCTGTCTCTCTCTCTCTCTCTCCCCCCTCTCCTCTCCTTCTTATCTATCATGAAGTAAGTCCCCTCTGCTACACACCCTGAGCATTTCTGCTTTGCCATGCCCTTCCCACTGTGGAGGACTGTGACACCTTACATCAAGGAAAAGCCTCCTTCCTTTATGCCAGGCATTTGGTCACACCAATGAGAAAGTTATTGTCACATCTTTCTTATTGCTGTCCCCACTTCAGCTCAAATGTCTACAGGACAAGGCTCATAAACAAAGCCTAGCAATGTCAGTGCAGACAAGCAAATGGCATTTGCTATTTGTCCCTTTTCTGACCTACATAGCACTTATCACATAAGACCAGAAGTTACCACCATTGTGGAAACTCCTAAAATGTAAGTTTTTCCAAAAGCATGTGTGAAGACCTTTTACTGAGAAGGAAGAGTGCTAATGCTCTTAGCCTTCTCCTCCACCCCTTAGCTTCTGCCATTCAGCATAGCTCTGAACACTCCTCTCTACCCCAGGCTCTGGGTAGAAATACAGAATCTCCTATTCAGCTTGGTTCTCAGCACAGAATCCCAGGTGTACACACAAACCCAATATATGAAAGCAGAACACTTGTGTGTGTGTGTGTGTGTGTGTGTGTGTGTGTGCCAAAGATCGACTTATACCGTTGGACAATACATATTACACTGAGATCCAAATCATCTTCATTTTTGTATAGTTATCTCCGTGGGAGTTATCTTCATTTTTGAAGAGCAATTTTGGTTTAGTCCAATTAAGTTTGTTGTTCTTTTATTATTTAGGCATGTAAAATAGTCAAAATACATTTATTATATTATTCAAAAAGAATTTCCTGCGCAGACACATATTTTACAAGTACAATGGGCTCCTACTGTTGGAACTTATTTGTTTCCAGTTTTCTCCTAATAGGGAGTTGTAACATGAGCTCTAATTGGTCTTAATAATAGAAACTCGAAGTCAGAGAAGCAGAGCAGCCAGCCACTAGAGCTCTTACCTCTACAAACCCCAGACTCAATAGAGACTGAGCTCCTGTCTCCTCCTCCTAATCCCTCTCTAGACCCAGCCATCTCACTTCCTGTCTGTCTGTACCGACCTCCAGACCTCAACGGTTAGCTAGAGGCTAGCTCCTCCCTCTGATCGTCAGGCAATCTTTGCTAGAGTATAAACAAGGTATCTCCACGGCAAGGTGGACTTACTGCTGGTCATTTCGGGAAGAGAGGCTTTCCTATTTAAGGGTGAAGGAGAAAGAAAAGGGGGCAGGCAGCGTATGGAGATTTTCTTAATTCAAATGATCTGAGGTTCACAGCTTTAATCTTCCAATTACAGGGCACAGATTTGCCGTCAACCTTCTGTAAACCTATCAGTTCAAAAGCCTGAGGAGTTTTATCACCTCCAGCCGCTGACCAGCAAATTGTAGGCCAAGCTAAAGCAGTTAAGCCTTTCTGCTGCTCCTCTCGTGCTGGAGGACTGGATCATTTCAGGTTATTAGTCTGGGTCCGTCCTTCTCCCCTACACAGGGGCCTGCTGCACAGAGCTGGAGCGAGGGGGGTGGGCAGAGTACACAGTGCTTTTCCGTATGGGGAAGTGCCAGGTACACTTGCACCATCAGAAGATTGGGAGGGCTATCACCCGCTGGAGCCACCTTGTTCAGATGCTCATCTGTGTGTTACCTCATTCTTAAAAATGGAAGCTCCATGACATCCCAGACCGCATCTGTCTCAAGCTGGACTGTGTCTCCACAACATTGCTTACAGCAAATCTATTGAGTGGATGAGTGTGTTCATAATCCACTCTGCAGCTACAACCAACAACAAAAGATAGTCCTCACCTTTCAGAAGTTATAACAGAAACAAGGCCTGAACCGTTACAGTGAGAGTGTGGGTGGGGAAGAGACAGTGCTGAACTAGACAGTATATTTATATCGCATGATATATGATACTATATGAACATAGGCATAGTCACTATTCTGTCCCCGCCCACATTGACTTGTAAGGTAGTCTCTCAACAATTAGTCACAAAGTGTTTGAGCACTACTCGTGTCTCAGTCACTGGGAACCATGCTGGGATATGAAGCCATCAGTCCCAGGCAGCTTAGTGCCAAGGATAAGATGGGGTAGAGTCCAGGCTGCCAAAAGCTTAGCAGGCATCGCTAGGTAACATAGGCATTGGGTGGAAGTAGGCGGCTGGTATGGTGTTATATGAAGTCAGGGGTGACTTCAAAGTTCAGAAAATGTTGCACACACTCATTTTTGTAGCAGATGTAAAGGTATACCTATGTTTTCTGAAGCTGTGGTGGTTTGAATGAGAATGGCCCCCACAGGCTTATATGTTTACATGTTTGGTTCCCAGTTGGTAAACTGTTTGGAAAGGATTACGAGGATGGCCTTGTTGGAGGATATATATGTCACTTTAAAAAGCCCATGTCAGCCCCCTTCTCTCTCCCTGTCTCTGCATGTTGCCTGCAGATGAGGATGTAAACTCTCAGCTGCTTCTCCAGCATCAGGCCTGCCAGGCACCACACTCCCTGCCACGATGATGACGGTGTGACCCTCCAAATCTCTAAGCGAGCCCCCTAATTTCTAAGTTGTCTTGGTCATGGTTTCTCATCACAGTAATAGAACACTAAGACAGAAATTGGTACCAGGACTGGAGTATTACTATTAAAGACCTGATTATGCTGCTTGTTGGTGAAATATAGAAGACTTTGAGACTTGGAATTAGAAAAATGGTTGCAAAGTTTAAGTGGGGCTGAGTGGCCCACCAGTAGTGGTGAGGGAGATTTGGTCTATGAAGGCCTGACTCAAGAGGTTTCAGAGGGAAGAATGGCCTAGAAACCATTCTTATGATATTTTGGCAAGAAAACAAAGTGCCTGCTTTTTGTCCTTAACCTAAAAATCTGCTTAAAGCTAAATTTAAGAGTTTTTAAATTAATGGCATTGGCAGAGGAGATTTCAAGACAGCCTAGAATTCACTGTGCCACATGGTTATTAGTGGTCACTCTTAGGCAGATCTATAATGACAAGAAGCAGGCGAGGCAAAAAGAAATGTAGAATGTTCAGTTTGAGTAGAAAGAAGCACTAGAAAATGTAATGTTGGAGCCAAGTCTTGGGTCCAAATGCTGATAAGGTTAAAGAAAGGCTGATGCTAATGGAATAAAGGGAGTGGTGTCCTCAGGGCAAGACCCTACCCAGCTAATCCCAGCTGAGGGATTTCCTAAACCTAAACAACGACAACAAGCTTACACAAATGTTTTTAAGAAAAGGACCAGGTTCAGGAGGGAACCAGGTTCCAGCCAGCAGAAGAACTTGGCAGCTATGGCCATGTGGTTCTGAATTAGAACTAAGAAGGATACAGGAAGGGGGTGTGGAGTTTTTCTCTGAAGTCTCTGAGGCCAAGAGTGTGGTAGGGGAGTCCCTAAATGGAGGTCCAGAGAGGTCATTGCATGGAGTTGTGAAAGTGAAGCCTGGTTTGCATTGGAGACCCAAACATGTTGGAGATGCCAGAGACAAGGGAGGGATACCTGAAAGTTGCAGACATGGTATGGAACCTGCCTAAGAGAGACAAGTGAGGTGCAGTCAACAAAGCAGAAAGGAATTGGAGATCTGAAGAGAGCTTTAACATCAGACACGGACATGCAGAATTTGGAGTTTTCCCTGTTGAGATTTGGTCTTGCTCTAGTCCAGTATCTCCTTTGTATGCCCCCTTTCCTTCCTTTTGGAATAGTAATGTATATTCTGTGTCATTGTATGTTGGAAGTATGTTTTGTTTTGTGTGTGTGTGTATTTTAGTTTGTTTGATTTTTTTTTTAATTTTATAGGGGGTTACAGTTAAGAGATTTCCTTGAGCTTCAGAGGAAACATTGGACTTTCTGAGCAGTCTTGAGACTGGGAAAGACTATTTGGACTTGGACTTTCGGAGTTATACTGAATGCAGTTTGCTTTATCATATGGCTACAGGTTGTGAGGGCCAGGTTTGAACGAGAACAGCTCTCATAGGAAAGCATTAGGAAGTGTGGCCCACTTGAAGTGGTCTTTAAAGTTTCAAAAGCCCATGTCAAACCAGTCTCCCTCCCCCTCTCCCTCCCCCTCCCTCCCCTCCCCCCATCTGCCTGAAGATTAGGATGTGGGCTCTCAGTTACTTCTCCAGCACCATGCCTACCTGCCTTTCACAACCCTCCCTACCGGATGATGATGATGGACTAACCCTCTGAATCTGTAATCAAGCCTCTAATTAAATGTTTTCTTGGTCATTGTTTCTCTTCACAACAATAGACTACTAACCAAGAAGCTATGTGAAAATACCCCTAAGTTCTGGAGAGCTGCCTATGAGCAACTCATCTTTCTTTCCTTGGTTATTTTCCAACTTAGGGATTTGCTTTCACTTTTTGGGATCAGAATCAGGACTTAGCCAGGGCGCTTGTGTTAGCCAGGGTGGCTATTGTTGTGATGAAACACCATGATCAAAACTTCATTGTTGTTGTTCATCCCTGAAGGAAGTCAGGACCAGAACTCAAGCAGGGCTGGAATCTGAGGCAGGAGCTAATGCAAAGGACTTGGAGGAGTGTTGCTTACTGGCTTGCTCCATATGGCTTCCTCAGCCAGCTTTCTTATAGAACCCAGGACCACCAGCCTAGGGATGGTACCATCCACAATGGTGTGGGCCCTCCCCCATCAATCACTAATAAAGACAATGCCTTACAAGCTTTTCTACAGCCCACTCTTATAGAGGCATTTTCTTAATTGAGGTTTGCCCCTCTCTGATGACTCTAGCTTGAAATAGATAGATATAAAACTAGCTACCACAGAGAAGAATGCCCTCAAATATCCTTATTTTACTCTTGGCTTAAGTACCTATGGTCTTGGAACCAGTGGTCTTTTAGATGATGAGCCACCTGGTATCCACAAAGATAATCTATATTATTATTATTATGCACAAATGTTTCGAATACATGCTATGGTTTCAATGTTTGCATCTCCTTATCCTAATTTACATGAAGTCTAATCTCCTCCAAAGAGATAGCTAGGTCATGAGAATTCAGGCCGCTTAAATGGGGTCAGTCCCTGCATTAAAGAGGCACAGGGGAACTCGCTCTTTTATATTTTGAGAAGACACAGAAGGCCCTATGGGAGAGAAATGGGTCTTCACCAGTCACCAGATCCAATGCTGCCACAGCCTTGGACTTCCCAGCCTCGAAAACTATGAACAATAAACTTATCCTGTTTGTAAACTACCCAGTCTAAGATATTTTGTTATAGAATCCCAAACACACACAGAGCACAAAAATTAAATTGCAGCTTCATTTGTGCCCCAAATGGAGATTTGGTGCATGGTTGAAATAGTTGCATTATTGTTTAGTAGCTAACAACAATAAATTGATGCTTATTGGGCAGTGATTATGGACCAGGACTCCATTCTACACATTTTCCATTAACTGGTATATTTAATATTCATAACTGTCCTCTGAGGTGGCTACAGTTACTATATTATTTTACAGAAGAGGAGACAAGCCCAGAGAGTTTGAGTGATTTGCCTTTGAATCACAAAACTCATGAAAGATAAGATGAGGCAGAACCTAGAAAGCTAGCTCTTGAGACACAAGACCTAACCCTTCATCATTGCTACTATGTGTTGAATGCCTTGGTAAGTCTATGCCTTTTATTTTATTTTTAGATTTGTGGGGTGTGTGTGTGTGTGTGTGTGCGTGCGTGCGTGCGTGCGTGCGTGCATGTGTGTGTGAGTGCATGTGCGTGCGTGTGCATGTGTTTGTATCCATCTGTGTGCAGGTGGAGGTGAGAAGTCAACATTGTGTCTTCCTCAATTGTTCTTTACCTTATTTTCTGAGGTAAAGAGCTCATGGATTTGGCTAGACTGTCTACCTGCAATTCCAGGGATTCCCCCATCTCTACCACTCCAGTACTGGGATTACAAGCATGTACCATCACATCTAGATTTTCCTGGGTGCTATCAATTTGAACTCAGGTTTTCGGGGCTTGGGTTTTTTGTTTTGTTTTGTTTTGTTTTTTTGCTTTTTTTGGTCATTTGTTTTTGTTTTGTTGTTGTTGTTTTGAGACAGGGTTTCTCTGTGTAATAGCCTTGGCTATCCCGAAACTTACTTTGTAGACCAGGCTGGCTTTGAACTCATGAAAATCTGCCTGCCTCTGCCTTCTGAGTGCTGGGATGAAAGGCATGTGCCACCACCCCCCAGCTTGAACTCAGGTTCTTCTGTATGCATGGCAAGCATTTTACCTACTGAGCCAATTCCTCAGCACCTATAGGTCTATTCCTTATAGAAACACTGAAAATAGGTATTACCTCCTCAATTTGCAGACAAGGGCATTTATAGATAGCCTAGTAAGTCCCAGGATCAGGATGTAAATCCGTGTGTCAACCGTCACTGGCCCGAAAGGCTTCCGCTCCACCCCACTACCTAGGCTGCTCTGTGGCCTCCTTTCCACTGATTATCTTAATCTCACCTGGTTCTTGCTTTATTCTGTTTCCTTTGATCAAAAGCAGAAACAAGAAGTTCTAATTAAGCATTCATCAAGAGGGTCTATGTCCCTTTCTGAGAATTTAAATTTTTTTACACTCATATGGCACGATGTATCTTTCCAGTAATGTTCATTTGCATAGCATCATCTGCTCATTGCAACAACCTTGACCTATAGGAAGTGGGCGTTATTGTCCCTGTCTTCTGGAAGGAATAAACCTTAAAATAAGCAGAGACTAAATAACATGTCCAAAGGGCCTACACCTGGTCCTGCACTACTCTCACTTACTTGCTTTTGTTTCTCCTTTCTGTAAACATCCTGAAGAAAATGACTGGTGGGAAGGTCTGTAATAGAAACATCTGAAAAGAGAATAGAGGATCACAGTTGAACACAGAGGACTGAACTTACATATTTACCACCCCTACTTCCTGAAATAGTGTTAAAAGAAAATGCTGTAACAATATTCAGAGTCAAGTTATGTAGAAAGGCTCAATATATACACACCAAGAACTCCAGGAGGGAAATACATAGGAAGCACTACCAAAACATTTTTTAATCAAAACCTAAATAATAGATATTCGAATGGAACTGATCAATGAAAAATAAAACTCAGTATATATGTAAAAAGATTCACATATGGAGACATCATGATGAAGTACCAAAACACTAGGAATAAAAAAAAGATCAGAAGAGTAACTAAAATGGCATAAGAGAACAGGGAAGCAGAACGGCATGTCACTTCTCAAAAGTGACAGCAGAAACTAGAATGGAATAATGGATTTCAGAAATCTAAGTAGGAAAGGGGGAACATCTAGAAGAAATTGCTTGCAACACAACATTCTAAAGCCCTTCAAACAATCACTCATGCAGCTGAAACAAAAGCAGTATATTTACAAAATAATGATATTATGCACACAGATACCTTAAAAATCTCGGTCTGTTGTCAATATGTCCTCTCTTAAGAAGACACTGGAGGGTGGCTTATCGTAACAAGAGAAAACAAAGACAAGCTAAGAAAACAGATATAAGGGGAGAACAAGAAAGTGGAAGACCCAGAACATGGAAATATCCAAGGAATGAAGGGAAATCCCAAAAGACAGTGATCTTGAGATTCCTCAGGAAGACAAAGACAGTTGTGCAACTAGGCCATATCCAAACAACAGGAAAAAACGGTACTTCAGAAGCTTACCTGTAAAACAAAGGTGAAATTGATAGAAAAAGATGGATTTGGTCATACTGAAAGGCAATCTATACCTAGAAGTTTAGGAATAATGGGCTGGCAAGATGGCTCAGAGGGTAAAGGCGCTTGCCCTGCAAGTGACCACCTGCACTGAATCCCTGAAACTCCTGGTTAGGTGGAAGCAGAGGAGTGACTCCTCAAACTTGTCCTCCTGCGGCACACCCCACCCCCAATCACACACATACAAAAATAATAACAAATAAAATTTAAAAGCTTAGAGATAAGACTTCAGGAAAACACAAATAATCAGTGAAATTTTATCATGAATACAAGCTGATGGTGGAGGTGTGTGCCTATCATGCTAGTAGCCCTTGAGATTCAGAGGCAGGGAGATCAGAATCTCAAGGCCAAAGAAGAAGAGTAGGTAGAAGTGAGGAAAAAAAACCAAAAACGTAAAGGGCATATAATTACAGTACATTGCATGGATTGACTTTGAGTGATAGTAACATGATCATAAAATATAAGCATTAAATATTGAATGGATGAAACTATGGCATAATTATATCAGAAGAAAAGAGGGAAGAGGGAGTGCATAGATGAGTACAAGTAGTTGAAAATCTTCATTTCTGTAGTAAAATAAGTAGATATTATTTGCAAAGAAATGATGTTTCTGTTCTGTGAATGTATACTATAGAGAAGCAGCCAAGAGTTGAACAGTCTTGCCGCTGGAGCAATGGTTCTTAACCTGTGGGTTTCGACCCCTTTGGGATCCAGGGCTTGCATATCAGATATCCTGAATGTCAGATATTTACATTACAATTTATAACAGTAGCAAAATTACAGTTGTGAAGTAGCAATGAAAATAATCTTTTAGTTGGGAGGTCACCACAATATGAGGAACTGTATGAAAGGGTCACAGCTTTAGGAAGGTTGGGAACCACTGGTCTAGAGAGTGGAGAGAGGAAAAGAGCTCAGGAGACAGGGATTTTACAAACCAGGACAGAAGCTTCTTGTTATCATTCTTCCCTTTGTCCTTGGTAATAAGGACAACAGTGTGCTATGATAAAAGGCTTGGTTTCAGTCATTCTTCCAGCTGCGTGTGGACAAGAAGTCACTGACACAGCTGTTGATGGACAAGAAGACACAGCAGGGCTGTTGATGGACAAGAAGACACAGACACAGCTGTTGATGGACAAGAAGACACAGACGCAGCTGTTGATGGACAAGAAGACACAGACACAGCTGTTGATGGACAAGAAGACACAGCAGGGCTGTTGGATGGACAAGAAGACACAGA